TTTATGGGACCAATACTTTCCAACAAAAAAAGAATTATCAAAATCGGAACCGACAAATCGCATAGTTATCGCGTAACATACACGCAATAAAAATACCGTCGAATTGAAAACCTTCTCCTTTTTTGAAGTCGGTTAATAAGTTATTACTATTTATGATGACCTCCGTAGTCGAGTGGCTTGCACACCGATTTTCATGAAGTCGCTCTCTCCGAGGTCCCGGGGACATCAATAATAATAACGCGCACACTCATATCCCCGGCTGGGTCAATATAGAAACAAAACTATTCTATATTGTCTCGGGTCTGGATCCTTGTGGTTCCATTCGTTGTTTCCGATTCCCATAAGATAAGTTACTTTGGGATCAGAGCAATGTTGTCTAATATTTATAATTTATGACGACCTCGGTACACGGTGCACGAGCACACGGTGCATACACCGTGGGCGCTGTATGAGGAGGTCCCGGGTTTGATTCCAGGTAGGACAATTTGGGAAATAAACTTATGTGAATTGATTCTGATCTGGGTGTCCTAGATATACGTTTTTTTAATGATACTAAATGACGGGACGAACAAGTCGTGTTTCTGATAGTAAGCGACACGCCTGTCCGTAACAGTTGCTGTGCCACTCAGAGCTTTAAATCTCAAAGATCTGAGAGGCACTGCGCCCGACGTCTGAAGTCCCATTTGCCTATAATTTCACCAACACCGTTATCCTTCCACGCAGTAATTCTTACATTACTGCGGCAGAAATTGGTATGGTGGCAGAGCTTCCCTGGACGAATTCTTTCACAACGGGCTCTACTGCTACTGTATATCATGGAATATCGAAACCAAAACGAAAAGTTTGCCGTAACCATTTAGATATAAGGTTTATAGTGTAATGATGTATTCCCATATAAAAGAGTTTGACTGTAATAAATTATATTCACCTGTTTCCGTAAAACTAAGACGTCTCCGAAGCTTGCTTAAGAAAATAGGGCTGTACCTAGGTATCTGCAGAGTGTATATTATAAAAATGCAGACAGAATGAATGTCTTTCTATGACGTGAATTTAAATATACGAAGATTGATTACAATGCGTGAGCGGCAGATATTTAGCGGTATTTGTTTTGTTGCAGCTGTCGGGCACAGCAGGCGAGGCGGGCGCGCTTGACGCTGTCGCCAGGCGGTACCGCCTGGAGAATGGAAACTCGCTCGGGGAAAAGGATGAGGTAAGCATTATTTTGAGTTTTTTTTTAAATATACACATTTCATTTTAATATGAAATGACAATAACCAATAAGTGCTATACATAAAGTGCCTACCTACCTACCTCTAAAATCCCAAAAATCACTTAAATAATTCTTTTTAACCTTACAATTACAAAACTATTGTTCTAAATACATTAACGTAATAAAGTACATAATTATATATGTAGATCCATGATTTCGGCCTACCCCGGTGAGTGACAGGCGTGATGATGTGTATGTATGTCAATACATAGAACAAGATATTGGGTTGGCAAAAGTACGTGCAGTATCAAGTCAATATCTGTACTGTAGTAATGTAGTAGGTTCAACTGCCACCTATAGGATGGCTCTGCTAAAACCAATGGGCCATCTTGGATTCAGTAGAAGAGCATGTCAAGGGAGTTCGTGGCTCACACCGAACACCGCCGTAAAGTTGCCTGTGTACCAGTATTCTACAGGATATGACGTGTGCGATGGAATTGCATGATTTAAGTCCACCTTCCCCTTTCCATCATTAGGCTGGGGTTCCACTCCTATTGGTATAAAAAAAGAAGTTCGTGGTTATATGAGCAAAAAGTTAATAAAACAATACAGTTTCCTGTCTGTCCAGTATCGAATGTTCCAGAACTAGGGCATCTAACCTTTTCAGCCTTAAAATACTTTAGGTTCTAAAATACTTTATTCTCATTAAGATTATTTATCGCTTAGATGAGAACTTCAAACTAATCAGTAAATTAACAATATCCCACCCTAAGCTACAGTACAAACTACACAATGAATATTACTATTTGATACAAACACAAGTTATATAATAGTCGTAAATATATAAAATATTATAAAATAGTCGTTATTATTATGCGAATTAAACCTTTATTTCAGTGGTGAATGATCGTAAACAATAGTTTATAGAATTTAGATTTAAATAAACTAAATGACTCCGCATCCTTTACATTTCAGGGCAGTTTGTTAAAGTTTTGCACTACCTTAAAACTTATCGACCTCTTGCCGTAGTTACAGTCATGGGCAGGATTATATGCGATTGTTTTTTCTTTACGTATGTACCTAAGATCTAAGCTCAGTATGAATGTTCCTATGTAATATTTTACAAATAAGAATGCATGTTTGGACTATCTTACCCTTGATTACGGCCTACAACACCAAATATTTCATCACTAAAGTAGGCGAACCGCTTTTCTGTTTAATAGTCCTGATGATAAATACCAGATACACACTCACGACCGCTAAAACATCTCAAACTCCACTTGAAAATAACAGACTAAAAAAAATAAATGTAAATGAGTCAATAATATTCATTAATTAATTGTTTACACCACCAATATACAGACCAGAAGTTATCAACCATAATACATTATCTTCAATGTCGTAAAGCCTATCAAGCTGTTATAATTATATTGATGAATGCGTAATACAGTGACCTTATAACCTAGAGGCTGGTCATGGCGGGTGTGGAAGCAATAGCTTGACCTATTTTGACTAAGTTGAATGAGACCGATTGTCGAGGTATTGAAAAATTGACTTATAAGTTTTAAGCCCTTGAAACTGTATGTAACAGGTTATCACAATAAAGCAAACGTAAAATAGATGCCAGGTACAATGCGAATTATATATTAAAATTATCTATATCTTTCTACATCTGTCTACATATCGCACTGCTATTACAATAGTGTTATAACTCAAAATAAGTGAAATTCAAGATTATACCATTGTTGAACGTAAAATTTGATTCTCCACACGTCAATAAAACCGTCGTTAGAATATTGTAAAAAACAACTAAAAGATATATACTTAACTCAAAATGAGACACGCTTTATGTGAGCTAGTTCTGGCCAAAATAGTCCTTATTCAAAAACATGAAACTATTTTTTCTCTTTTATTTTTAAATATGTATATTTGGCAAGTAGGAAATAACTGTTACATGAATTTACACAGATCTTTCACGGTAAGCGAATAATTCCTTTTTCGTCGATTCTGAGAAAATAAACTTTTTGAGTTAATACACTATTGTATTAACAGTGCGATATATATTTTATTAGTATTATTAGTAGTATTTTGTAGACTATTTTTGAAGATATTCTTTGGTTGCACCTATTTTGCATATCCCAAATGTTTATCCTAAGGTTGCCTGGAAGAAATTGCTATTGGCGCCTGTTCCACATTAACTTACTTTTTTTTTATAAAAAATAAGTGCGCATTTCACCTCTATCTCACCTGATGGAAAGTGACGATGAGGTCGACGATGTAGCATGCACACCTAAATAATGCCTATTCACTCTCGCCTTGAAAAGGTCCAAGTTATTGCGTTCGGAGAACAAGTCCGCAGGCAGCGAATTCCACTCTCTAGCCGCTCGCCATATAAATGTGGAAGCGAAACGCTTCATGCGAATCCCGGGAATATCCATAATACAGGGGTGGAACCCCAGCCCACGTCGAGTCCCCCGATGATGGAAAGGGGAAGGCGGAATCAAATAATGCGATTCCATCGCACACTCTCCGTAATGTATCCTGTAGAATACCGATAATTGTATACTTATGTTACTATTCTATGTTGTTACTGTAATTTTATGTGCCATAAAGGGTATTTGATTCATTAATTCGTTCAATGCGAAGAAAAAGTTAGTTGTCTACTTCACTGATAAAATTGTGTTACAAATTTCCGTAACAATATGAAACTCATCTCAACTCATTGTGGTATCGCACAATTCAGTGTCGCTACTCGGTTACCTTGATTTGCAGAATGCGACTATAGAAGGAAGAGAGTTGTCATGATGAGAACTGAACACGTTTCACTAAACAGTTATGCTTTCTTAATAAAAAAAAAAAGTGATAAAATTAAATGAGACTTCTCAACTTGTGTGATCTTTGCGATTTAACGCTCTGAGTGAGACTGCAATTGCTATGGACAGGCATGTAACTCACCACCAAGTGCACGACTTGTTCGTGCTGTCACTTGGTATAAGAAGAAAAATTCTCTAAATTGCGAGTTATACGGAGTAGTGGAAGATGCATACCTATCACTTATTACTGGAATGTGTCCGGTACAGAGGGCAGCATGATTGAGATACGTGCAGATTAATCGAACATCCGTAGGCAAAAGACGGTACAGTTGAAGAAAATTATTATTTGCACCGATGAATGTTATCTCTTGGAACGGCTTATCATTTCTATTGCAATAGGGCAATAAAACCATTAACACTTCTTTTACTTAAAGCGTACACGGCTTTAACGATCTTGGTCCATCGTACCAGTTATGGGTGTACTAAATGCATTTTCTAAATCCTAGTTTTCAATTGGACGTAGTTAAACAAAAAAGATCCAATAGACATCCAGTCACTTTCGAGATAATATGGCAGTTTGAAGTTTATAAGTGTTTCTCACTCTTGTTTTATTTCCAAAACTTATATAATGTTATGTAGCTCCAGAGATATTTATTTAGGTTTATATGTTGATTTTTTTGCTGGTCGAAGAGGTTAGACTTTAAGAACCGTTTGGTACACATAACTCATTTTTTGATAATTTTGTGGATTGGATCCTTTTTGCTTAACTATGTCCAATTATTTCTTTACTTTTTTTTAAGAGTAGGTACTTCGTAAAATACCGACTGCCAATTCTTTTCTTACTTATTCTACAAGTTATTTACGCATAAGATTATGAAGTTTAGAATTAATGCGTAAAAGTATTTAAACTTGTTGTTTGCACTGTACAGATGGCATGCAGGTTACCGAGACGGTTCACTGTTCACTCTTTTACCTATTGTACACTAGAGATGAAGTGACTAGACGAATCGGTGCAAATAATATTTCGCCAACTATATAATGATTTGTTGAATCGGTTCTTCAGCAGCGCCGCCCAGACATGTAAGCTATTTAGGATGAAACTGAGACGTTGTATAAAAGTTCCTAAATAAATAAAGATTTAAAAAATTAAACTCAGAGTAAGATTATACACTTTATAATGGTATAGGTACTTACATCTTAGCGGCTTATTGATCACTAGAAAAGTGACAGTAGGTAATAAAAGTATTTTGAAGTATTTACTTTCACGAAAATGGTTTTAACATAAAAAACATCACTTTAACAGGAAATAAAATGACTAACATGTGGTATAATTATTTTTTGTACAGCTTTTCGGGCCCCCGAGTGCACCGGTGCTTGAAAATCCCGAGTTCCAAACGAGATGGTACTTCAAATATTTTCTCGGAAAAAGTAAGTGTTTTCAAGATGTTTTTTTCCTTCTGTTGCCTTGACCCAATGTGTTGTTTTTGAATAATTACAGCTTTGTTCTATTGCATTAACGTAAATTTGTGAAATTTCTTTCGTTTTAATTGCGTATCGTCCTCCCTACCTATAAAACTGTAGATTAAAATACAGTAGCCATTCCTGTATTTTTTAATTTTCTCCAAATACTATTCATTTATACGAGTATACGAGTACATCGAACAACTACTAATACATTGTGATACTTGAAGATTTAGGTTGATTTGCATTTGATGCCAAAAATATTATGAACAAGATATGCTGATATTCTGATCTTAGTACGGTAAGAAACTTGCAAATAAAATCAAAATCTCAATTCACAATTGCGTGACAGACAATCACACCAATTCCCTGTACTATTATTACCAGAAAAACAATTTTTATTTATCCGGATCTCCCTAAGCAGGACCAATTTAGAAAAGTTCATTTTCCAAATTGGTCTTACCGAGAATCGAACCAGTACTTCCTCATCCAGCGCCAACAGTTCAAACTGTTGGGCCACCTGAATCATGAAATTAAATTCATAGATAGAAAAATTTACTCGAAAAGAAGCCTTTTGTGTACGGCCAGCAACGTCATACACACAAACATTCGTATGTAAGTATCGATCAGAACGCGGTATATTTTCTTTGCTTGATAAAGCTACCACTTAAGGCGTAATATCTTCATTTAATTGAACAGTGTATGACACTTACCGATATTATTTTTTTGGAATCCCTTAACTCGGTTGACCCTTATTTAAGCGCCTTACAGAAACATCGTTTATATACGTATGCAGAAGTATAATATCTTTGTACGTATGCATTATTCAGTACACCGCCGTTTAAATAAACATTCACTCTAATCTGCGTAGGTGATTATTAAAAGTAAAGTATACCCGCAGTATGTTGTTGTATCAAATACCTAGTAAATAATAACCACTGAGCATATAACCACTACGTTTTAATAATAACATGAGTGGTGGTATATTGGAATAAACGAAAATCACAATAGAGGTACATATTTTTAATAGCTCTATTGGCTCTATGATATCTTGTGCCAATGTCAAAATAAGTTTAAAAAACGGACGACGAAAAAACAAAAGCGAAAAAAAATTATCCAAAGCCAAGGTAAAATGAGTGTATAGTAAATATGACAAGTAAATATAAGAATCATTTTGATTTAAAGAAAATGCCTAAATTACGCAAAATAAAAATGGAAACAATTTTTATATCATTAAGGACAACTATTATGTAAAATAGGACACAAGGAAGCGTGAGCAAGCAAGAGTAGGTAAGCATGGGTATATGTTAGAAGGAGAAGAAGTATAATCGGAAACTGTCACACGCTTTCATACTTGTGAAAACGGTTTTTTAAGCCTTCGACACTTTCGACACTATGGATTTCCTCCCTTTTTTTCCTCTCTTGGCCACAGTTTATATCCCTGCAATTTGAACATTTACTAATGTATCTATAGACACTATTTGTTAAGTATGAATAATAAAAATAATAAGTATTGTAAATATTCGACAATATCACATACGTTGTTCTAATCTCAAAGTAAGCAACTAAAGTGCTTGTTTTTGGAAATCGGAAACAACAACGGCACTACGAACACGAGATAATGTCGAAAATTTAAGTAACTTTCTACATTGACCCAGCTGGGGATCGAATCCGGGACCTGATAACGAGATGAAACCGGTGTACAAGCCACTTGACCATGGAAATCCTCATGCTATTATTTATGGCTATATCTACGAGTAGGTATATTGTACAGATCTTTGCATGCATGGATATTATTTCTTTGTGAGGTGTTTTGTACGAATGATAATGGCCCGTTAAGTACCATGGTGTCTAGTTTAGCTTAGGTAAGTAAAGGACATTGTTATGACAACGATATTATGTGGAACTCGCTACATATTTTATATTTAATGCGGAAATTTTACGCGATTTTATCTTAGTTATAATTCGCTCCCTAAAATTTTCTATCACTTTTAAGGAAATAAGAAAACAATTCTCATTTCCGTTCCGTTTTTAGGAGGAAATAGCTACACGGCCGGTTAATAAAAACGATTGAACGCTAAAAGATTTCAAGAAAGAAAACATAAACACACAAGAGTAGCTATACATTTTTTTGTGAAGAGAAAATCTAGTACCAAAAAGTACACACTAGTTTCGTGATTATGTGTGGCACTTAGTCTTCCTCGAATTTGTAATGACGTAACAAAATTATAATGTACTAGTTGGTGCCCGCAATTTCGTCTGCGTAGAATAAAGCCGGATTTACATTTGTCTAACGTGTCGTGTCGTGTCGTGACGTGTTAGAACAGAATCGCATTCATAGATTTAATATGGTTGGATTTATATTAGTGTCGCAATTGACGTAATGCTGTGTATATGAAACCGATACCGTGAAACCGTCTGACGTGTCGTGTTGTGGCGCGTCAGAACGCGTCACGACACGACATTTCATACAAATGTAAATCCGGCTTAAGTACTTCGAGTAGCCTTCTCATCCCCTGTTTTACTTTAAGGGGTAATTGCTCAAAAACACTGGTAACATGTTTATTTCTTACAAAATAAATGTGAATTTTTAAATCCCGTACTTGTGAAATTCTCCGTACTAACTTTCATCCTCTATTTCATCCCCTTTGAAATATATTTTTGTGACAAAAATTAGCTTAAGCCCTTGCCCTAGGACCCATCTATCTCTATAGATGATGATTGTATACAAAATTTATCAAATTTGGTTCAGCGATTTAGGCATAAAAACGTAACAGAGTTAGCTTCGCACTTATTAGTTTGGATCTGCCTACCATATCACACGAAACAAATGACTACGCAATTCAACAGTAGGACTTTACTCAGGGATTAGAAACGTATCAATAGTGTTTAGTGACTTCATATGATTAACTAGAAACGTCCCAGCAGACGCCCGGACTAACCCCGATCTCATTAGCTCACCGAGTGAGCACATAACGAGTTATACGCCCCAATGCTCGCGAAGTTAGCGCAATTCCTGTCTCCGACCGGTATGGAAGCCACCCGTTTGTCTGAATCAAGTTTAATTAGCATTTAATAGATTCTCTTTGAAGCTCTCGGCGTGTTGTATGTTTAATTTTCCTTTAAATCGTTTGAAGGGAATCATTAAAAAAAGCAGAAGGTTGATTAAAATTTGATAAAGAAGTGCGAGTTTGTATAATCGCGATGTGAATGGCGATTTATTCATAATACAATAATTTGTATTGTGGAACGCCATTTATAAAGATTTCGTCGTTTCACACTTTCGAACTTTATTATTTCTGTATGCTCGTCATGCTAAACGATTTCCAGTTTAGCCTTCGATTCGATTCGAGCTAGTCTTCGATTTGGTTTAGCTTTAAAGTTTTAACCCAAAAATTAATACACACTAGCCCACTCGCGTATTCTACTTTTATATATATACTAGAAACGTGTGCTTACGTCTACGGCAATAGAATCGGTATACATAAGTATTTGTTTTTCGACGTCATCCGAGAAATTTCAATAATTTAACATTTCTGTCTTTATTGTCTTCCACATATCCCACAAGACAGCAATGGAACACCCATATTCACTACGTTATATCTTGTATTAACTTTGTGCCCATATAAGTAAACTACTACATAGTGAAAACGTAAATTAAGTACCTTCTACTAGAAGATAGTATCCAATGTTTTTGAAAAATTACATTAGAAAACAAAATCAATAATAATTATATTTCGTCACATCATTCTTCAGTTATAATAATACATGTAATACATGTAGCCCCTTAATCCTGCAGGTTACGTCGCACTTTTAGATTAAATTAAGTATGTCAATTAATATTTTCATGTTGAAAGTATGCCCGTACTCGTATAATATCGATCGAACTTCACTTTGCAAGTTCATATTTTGATCATATATGTGGGATTAGTTGTACTTTTCTTATTTAATTGTAGGCTGTTCGTGTTTCTACCTTTGCTTAGAGGTATTATTAAAAATAAATAATAAGGGTGTCAAAAGTTGTCCGTTTTGTGACATATCATTATGTTGTTTGCCGCACAAATTAAAGAACATGATTAGAAAATTCGATTTATTTGTTGTCTACAATCCCACATGTATTATGTGATAATTTGACAAACTCGGTAGTCAAACGGTCCAACAGTACCTCGTAGTAGTCTCGGGTTCGATGTCCGGTAGGACCAATTCGAGAAATGAACTTTTCTGAATTGATTCTGATCTGGGTGCTCTGGGTCCACTACCCAGTACCCAGTCAGTAGTGCCCCAGAGTGAATACCGTTGCTCTAATACTCATAGTGCAGGGGATTCCCTAGTTTAAGACCAAGTATCAAGTTCGTTCATTTATTCACTCATTCAATTGATTGAGATTATCTACGGATTTAAATGATCAGTAGTACCTAAATCAATTGTCTTATGTGCGCTGAACTAAATACACAGAACAACGTATACAAGTCAATACAATATCATGAATCTTTATTGAAACAGTTTACATAACAATGAAATAGAAAACATTTATTTAAAGTGTTTCCTTATAAATAATTTTGAAACTAGTCTATAGTTTTATAACAGAGTGTCATTACATAAACGAGTTGCGCAACATTGACATGAAAGGATTGTTCATGTCGTCAGCAAACTTTTAGAACTGAAATATCGCGTAATCATTTTCCACACTGAAGACATTTGAAAGAATGACATAATATTCACGAATGGCTATATAAAGAACTAATCTATAATTATTTTATTGTTATATTCAATTAATTATGCTTGCGTATGTTGTTCTGTGACCTCACTTAGGGTCCTAACTGGAAATCAATGCTGGGAACGCATTGCGTTTTTCAGCAAATACTGAGTTTGTGACCCTTTTGATATCGCGGCTAGCACCACACAAAGTATCTCTATATCTAGTGTTGTTTTTATTATTTGTATGAGCTACAGTAGAATTGTATGATTATGTTTTGTTTTTGTTCTGTTTTGTTTCGTTTTCTTTTTTCTTTTCTGGTGTCTTCGTGAACAAATAAATGTATTTTCTTTCTTTTTTTCTTTCTATAAGAAAAAGCCACAGGTTATACAGAACACTGAGGAGTACCTGCACCTGCCATTATGCTTAGCGTTTGTGGACTATGAGAAAGCCTTTGATTCGATTGAGATTTGGGTGGTGCTAGTCTCTACAACGGTGCCACATTGACTATCGATACATCGAAGTGTTGAAGTGTTTGTACAGAAACGCCAGTATGTCAGTTCGAGAGTCACTACAGGACCAGTGCACAAGGCCTATCCAATTGCAAAGAGGGGTGCGACAGGGAGACGTCACTTCTCCGAAACTGTTCACCACTGCATTGGAAGATGCGATTACATCACTCACCTTCGATTTGCTGACGATATCGTGGTCATGGCAGAATCATTGGAAGAGCTTGGCACCATGCTCGGTGACCTCAATAGAGTACCCCAGCAGGTGGGTCTAACAATGAACATGGACAAGACGAAACTTATGTCGAATGTCCATGGCGTACCCACCCCTATAACAGTGGGAACCTCTACTCTCGAAGTTGTTGACGAGAAATGTCTACCTCGGACAAATCGTCAAATTAGGCAGACCCAGCTTTCGAATTCGACTCGGTAGGGCAGCTTTCGGGAAATTCTTAGACGTCTTCTCGTCCACAATACCGCAGTCGTCAGTGCGTGTTGCCAGCGATGACCTAAGACTCAGAGACGTGGTCACTTACTATGGGCTCGCTCCATATGGAGCGAGCAAAATGAGGCGATCCGTAGAAGAACGAAAGTCACCGACATAGCCCAAAGGATTAGCAAGTTGAAGTGGCAGTGGGCAGGGTACAGAGCTAGTAGAACTGACGGTCGTTGGGACAGAAAATGGACACCACGAACTGGAAGGCGTTCAGTGGGACGGCCCCTTCTAGATGGACGGATGACCTGGTAAGGGCAGCGGGTAACCGATGGATGCACGTCGCGTCCGACCGACTAGTCTAGCAATATTTGGGGGAGGCCTATGTTCAGCAGTGGATGTCTTCCGGCTGTTATGATGATGATGATAACTAAAGAGCCAACTAACTTCCAATATAATCCGCCATTACACGTAAGTCTACCAGAATCTTATGACAAATGGGCGCAGTAATACTTTTATAATATGAATATCAGTTTCTATGTTTATTATCTATAAATAATTCGACTGAAGAACACGAATCCAAAGAATCATGAAATAAAAATGTTTAAACGTTTGTTGTAACAAATACATAAATATCATTAAAATGTAATTTGTATTTTAGTCTGTGATGTAGATGCAATGTTTCATTAATTGGATAGTCGTTACTGTATTTTTGTCTGCCTTGCAAACTTCCGTCATAAAAATGTAAATTAATAACATAAAGCCGGGTACTCATTAACTAGCTTTTAATTTTAGCTGTAACTGTAACGAGATAGATACAGTAACGTAGTTCAGAAACAATTTTCACTCGCTAGAAAGTGTACCAGAATACTACACTCGAATATTAAATAATATTTCATGATAATATTCTAGAAATTTAAAAATTTAAAATTGCCACCGAAATTCGGTAGAGAAAACTAACGTGAAAATTACCCAGAGAAGTTTTATATGAAAACATTCAAAAACATATTGAACAAATCTTAAATCTCAACGCCGTATTTCATAAAGTGTTATTGAATATTCAATTTAATGTGGAAGATTGATAATCTACGAGGTTGCAAACAACTTTAGTTTTCTACAAGTTCTCCGTCGTCATTCGCACGCTCACTCTATACTGAATTTGTTGATAAATCGCTTGTATCTCAGTTTAAATATTGCACTAAACATGTTCAGTTCCAAAAGTTATCTATGGACAAATGAAACACTCTTTCGAGTGAAGATGGAGTTGCTTTCTACTTTAAAAACCTTTAAACCTTTAAACGCCTTTGTACACAAATACTTCAATTGTTTTCTGAAAATTTGTAAGTTACTTTGTGGTACAATAAAGTGTTTAAATAAATAAATAAATAAATAAAAATATGTGATTTGTTATTTACAGAGCTTGTGTCTGTATTGAAACGTTTTGAAGCCGTGGTACAAAGTTCCAAAGCCACAATTGCTAAAGAATCGCTTTACTCTAACTTCGGTTGATTTTCAATGATGCGCTGTTCTCAATCTCTATAATAGAATAATTACAAATGCATATACACATTCAATTACTTCACATTATGAACATTTTCAATTATTAATGATACCCAGTTTCGCACAATAATGCTTGCCTAATATTGCGAAGCAAACGCAATTAGATATCAAATAAGCTTCTCCGCTACGAATATTGTCTACAATATTCGAAATTGACGAGAGTCCCTAGAGAAATAACACTTGCCGTCAAGCGAGCCAGAGTTATTGAAGAAAATCTACATTTACAATAAATTCAATAAAATCTTCACAATTAAAGTACCAGGGTATTACAACATTAAGTTAGACCAAGTGATTCTACGAGGAGGAATTCTGAAGTTAATAGAAAAGCACTTAAATTGCTATGGACAGAAACCGCAAAGTTACAGTAAGGCGACTTGAGAGGTGCAACTGTTACTTTTCAAACTTCGCTGTAGCTTCGACTATAACTGTATAGGTAAAATATACGCCTGGTTTATTTATTTGAGTTTCTATATATGTTGGTTTTACAAGTGGTAGGGTTACCTATTTGTATAGAACCTGTTTGGATATGTACAGTTGATGCCCTAAGTTACCGACCGTTAGCCGACCTTTTCATTCTGAGAGCCTTCTTACGCATTCAACAGAAATGTATAAATGGATTCCAGCATTTTGGTTAAATATCAAAATTGCTTAAAAATGACGCAAAAAGGAAATCATACCAAAATTAATTTTACGGCTTACAGGTTAAAGGTTACGTTTATTCAACACCAGACCTAGTAGACGGGTCAGGTATCTTAGGGCATCGACTGTAGCACCGCCCTACCTATTTACATCACACGTCAGCACTTATTGATAACCAAGAAGAACCAGTGCTTGCGAAGTATTTACTACATTAGAGACACTTTCTTAGGGTCACAAATTTATGCTGCCGTAACTACTGTAAGGTGGACCGTGTGTTTGTTTGAATAGAATAAAAAAGTTAAAACCTTAAACTAGGTAATTTTTCACATAAATCTTGACCTTAACTTGTTTTTTAAATTAAATTATTATAATTTTTTATATATGTATATATATATATATATATAAATTAAACAGAAAATTACTTAATAAGGACATACTTGCTTAATCTTAAACATTATTGCTTCTGAAATGTGTCTAAATCATATGAAGAGCTGCTTATCTCTGCAGGCACAAAATAGTTTTCGCTTTACCGCTGCGAAAGCTCTACTATTTCTGACGACGAATTGGCTAATGTAAACGAATGTTCAGCGCTTAGAAACTCTAAGCCAACTACTAGTTTCCTCAAAACTTTATAAGATTTGCGGGAATTGTTAGGACTAGTTGCGTGAACTCAAAATTTTTAAGTCTAAGTAGTACGTACATCAAAACTTGGCTTAATTTATCTTTATTTGTCATTGTTGTGCAGTAATAATTTGTTTGCCAAATCAGTATGAGGGCACGATATGTCTAACAACAAATGATGCATAATATTAACAGTGCATTAAGCCAGCAAGGTAACACAACTAAGTAATGTATGTTTACAGTGCATCAGAACTACATAGGAGTGGACGGGGCGCGGGAACCTTATCTGCTGAGTGTCGTGCAGGAAGGGGGTGCCGGCCTTTTACGAGCCATACTCTTCAACAAGATGGTGAGCTTATAAACACACTTCCAACTCTGTGACATCACTTTAATTCGACCTATTCCCGAATTCAGTCATTAACAGGTAAATACATATATGTATAGAAAAAGGTAAAACATACATTGAAATCTCACAAGATATCGCATTTCAAGGAAATAGTGTCCTTTTAGCAGCTCTTTAAATGGCAGTACAAGTATAATTTCCGGTACATTCTTCCACGGCTGCGAGAACTCCGGAAATGGACCGAATAGAAATCTCGCACTATAACCTGGAAACGGGATATTAAAATGGGAAGTTTTTAATAACATCTGTTGTTTATTTAGAACATCACAAAATGAATATATTTGCTCTATTCATTTTGTGATGTTCTGCTTGTACAACCAAAACCTGCGATTGGAATACAAATTCCAAATGCGTGTTCTACGGTTTGCTGTAGTTATGCGCATACAGATTAAAGATACCTCTTAGGTCTCGCGGAGAAACCTCGTCGGAGAGCTTTGTTTTTTATCTTTAACTTAGTCGAAGTCAGGTTTTTTTTAATGACAATACGTAATCATTACGCGTATGTGTGGTGATTATGTCACTAAGTAAATATCAATGAACAAAGAGCAAGAATACCTTCTGTCGTAGGGCGCACACAAAATTTACTTACCTCCGAGCGCATGGAGCAGCGGAAGCGGGCAGGCACCAACCAGACCCACAGTGAAACAGATCCTGGCACAATTCCCGTCCATGGAAAGGGTAGATAAAGTTCCTAGAGAAGTAAGTTTTTATAAGATTACTCAAATAATTTCCTATTTAGTAACTCCTGATATAAAGTACAACTCTCTGTTACAAAACTTTTACATTACGCGTGTCAGGTATAAAAGGTGTAACGAAATATATTATACTTTATTTCATTTATAAAAGTGCCTATAACATCGAACAAATTTCATTATAAAAAAATTTATTAAAATATTTTTCTTTACTTTCCAAATAAACCTGAAAATTTTTTTGAGTCTTAACCTTCTAAGGGTACATAAATTAATTTTTATTCGCAAAAAGTCTTTCAACTTCAACCTTTTTGTTCTTTTTTGAATAAAAAAATATGTCTGGCACAAGCTATTCAGCGCAGTGGTTACTTTTATGGCCCAAATTTAGACCACATCATTTTTATTGCACCCTGTAGTAAAAAACACCTTAGCAATAGTTCAGACACACGTAAACAACGTTAAGATCTAATGAAGGAGCTTGTCCGAAGTACAATGTTATCAGGGGCCATTCCTGTAGCAAATCCCAACATTTGATTGTTAGATTACGTGTGCCGAGCTTCAAAAGGATATCCTATTACTTGAAGAGCAAGAGGGGTCCGTAAACTTCAAGATTGGTATAATGTTGATGAAACCCGGGCAGAAGACTGACGACGAAATGCTTTCTAACGGTAATTATATTTTCGTTGTTATGAAAATGACTCTGAACTTTTTTAAAAATGTCCTTTAAACATCTAACTTGGAGTTAGAAGTTTAAGAATATAAGTAATTTTTTTTTTTAATGTACTTATAAAATAGCTAAACTAATTATGTCAAGTGATGCGAAATAAACGCAAGGAAATTTGTGCTAATAAAAAGCCTGAACCAGCTGCTTGATGAGACAACTCGACCGCTGATTTATGACAGTAAATTCGATTTGGACATTTTTTGAGTGTATTGGAATATTTCAGAGAAAGGCGACGAGAAATGGGACCGATTTGTTTCACTTTTGGGAGACAAGATTCGATTAAGAAGCTGGAACCGCTTTCGAGGCGGCCTCGACGTTAAAGGTCAGAAACCATTTTGAATACCTAGCCCATTAAATATATCCTTATTTCACTTGAACCATTAACCATTTCTTTAAAATTGTATATTAACATTACTTTTAACAGGATTTTAAAAAGGAGGAGGTTCTCAATTCGACTGCATGTTTTTTTTATGTATATTACCCGATAATTTGTGAACCGATTTCGATGATTCTTTTATTGGAAAGAGGGTACCTCATTAGCCGTTGAATTTAAAATTGAAGAAAATATTTCACCTCTTAGGGTGGCAAACTAGGGGATGAATGCCTTTCAAAATCAAATTTTTAGTACTCTGTACTGAGCTTATTCTAATAGGTAATGTAATGAATTTTAGATAATTGGAACGAACAATTAAAATGTATTATCTGGAATGGTTACACAAGTATATATATCGACCATTTTACAATTATTCTTTAATAAAAAAGGCATCGTACGAGAAGTTAAATTCTCTAAAATTTTGCCAATAATGTAACATTAAATATAGGAAAGAAATATAATTTCGAAGATTAAGGAGATCACCTACCTACTTATGCGAAAGGTGACCCAAACTTGGGCAGTTTGACGACCCTCTTCGAACAAAGATATTCTGAGAACTTTTTCCGTTACAAACAAAAATTTTTCCATCATTAGTTACGAAGGTTCCTTTCAAAAAACATCCGAATTTTAATATTAGAATTGAATGAAGCTACCTTCTGCTTACTTCCGCGAATTATACGATTCGATTCCTTTCTCTTTCTGTATTTTTAAATTTATTTAGACAATGATTATTATACATTGTACAAAAGTAAAAAAAGAAAAAATTTCTCGAATAGAAAGAATGTCCCAAAGCCATACTTATTTACTTATAAATTGTGCTTTGTTCGTTCAAGGCGTTGTGTTTACAAGGCAAGTAAAGTTGTTTGCTAACATTGTAGGTGACATGACTGGCAGCCATTCAATCTACACGATGCACCAAGGGCATGAGATTATGTTCCACGTCTCTACAATGCTGCCTTTCTCCAAGGATAATAAGCAACAGGTAATCTAAATAATAATATGTATAGCGTTTAGAAGGTGTACAAGATAGTGATTGTTTTCAATTACTTAGTTAGAAAAGTCTTAAATCGCCGAATGGTTCTAAAGCGTACTTTGTGTGACCCTATCTCCAATAGAATATAGAATATAAAAAATCATATTATTGAAGTCAGTTATCCCGTTTGAGCTTGCTATATATTCAACAATTATTGAGATGTATTTCTACAAAAAAAAGTAGTTAGATTGGTCTTTGTTTACTGACTCCGAATATGTTTGTAACTTGATTTTGATAAAAATGTTAGTAGTGCCCTTTGTGCTCGCTACTCGCCTCAAAATATTCAACGAAATATTCATGTAAGAATGCTGACACACGTGTTTTTGGCATTGAGTAAGGCGACTCGCGAGACGAATACGGGCAGAGTCAAAAAAATGGCACAATCATCAAATTCAAAATTTCGAGATGAGATTAAAAATTTTATACGTTTTTGTTCAAAAGAATAGTTGAAATATATTTGTTATATTACGTAGTTTATTAATGTTAAATTATACATAAGACACATTTTATACATAAACTTTATTGTATTTTAATGAACCATTTAAAAAACCCTCAAGTTTCTCTTCTAACTTAAGTAGACAAAAAATACTACTATAATTTACTTAAGTGGCATAACTTACTTAAATGTGGATTTTAATACTTGACTTGTAATAGAAGTAAAGGGCACGATCATAGCCAGTTGTGTCATTTTTATGTTGTTTATGATGTAATTATTGTAACTGACCTATATAATAAGGGCACAGTTCCGTACATTACTAAGTGAAACCCTTTCAATTAGTGTTTATAACTTAGTAAATGTCGACTTTTTTCGAAGAAAATATGATTATTGAAATCAGTTGTGTCTTTTGAGCATACTGCATATCCAACAATTATTGAGATAAATTTCTGCAAAAAAATTAGGTAGACCATTTTTACTCGATCCCGAATGTGTATATAATTCAACGTTCCAGTTTTGAAGGATAAAGGGCGCTAGTGATCACATTCTCTATAAGCCTGCTGTAGATCATTGTTTTTAGTTTTAATGGGTTTTTTGCCGTGCCACCTACTTTCATAGTTTTTTCATGAGCGTTTGTTCGATCTGTGTATCAATTATAACAACATAGTACTTTCACAAAAATATATAAATAAATATTAGTTGTGCTTTTTTTGACTCCACGGGCAGAATGGTAAAAGTACTGCTTACATACGCGTGTTCATGTTTCACCTCCCCACTCGCGCAAATATGAAAATATGGGGTTACGGTGTTCGCACTCTGAAAAAGTAACACATCGGCGCATATTCATCAATGTTCTATCCACCATTGCACTAATAACATTTCGAGAATATATTAGAATTTGAAACAATTGTTTTTGGTCGGTATTTGCTAATTGTTTTTATGAGCAGTCTTTATTAAATTCTTCCAGCTAATAAGATATATGCTAAATTTGAAACTAATATCCATTCTTAATGTCTACAGTTGGAAAGGAAACGACATATCGGCAATGATATTGTCAACATCGTATTCACCGAAGACTCGGTCCACAACACCTTCAACCCGCTGTGTGTCAAGAGTCACTTCACTCGTATCCTTTTGTCTTTAGTACGGTTAACAATACCACATTTCAACATTGACATTTGGAACACATCTTTGAGGCTGTACTCTAGACAATGCGTGCTACGTAATGACCTTCGTACCTTAAGCACTAGGTAAGTATCTTTCAAAATATAAACTATAAGGGTCTCCACAAATAGTTTATAATCAACATTTTCTTAGCCTACAGACTCATTTCAAAGGGTCTCAGGCTGCTCGCATTCAACGACTTCAAGACAGAAAGTTTGAAGAAACCTTTTTTATGTGATAAATAAATACTTTATTCGAATTAAAGAGACACTTATGTTTCATACCTATCGTGTGTAACTAACGTTCTTTTTCCAAAAAAGATTATTATGTGGACAACCCTACTAGCAGTAGCAACTTCATCGTTGCCCTTTTGTTCCACAAAGTTGCCTTTTGTTCACGTAATATTGTTGTCTATCTCGAGCGAGATAACAGCTTTGGCAATAGTTTACTGCGCCGTAAAACGAAAGATATTGGAAGGATATATATCAATGACATAAATATTATTCACATTTGTCGCTGACTGTATTGCGTAAGGTATTACTTCTCTACTCTATTTATGAACGAGAATAAAAATTTATCCAACTATTCACAAAAAAAACATACTGATATAAATTAGTTAAATATGCAAGTGTAGCACAAAATCTTCACAAAATACTGCTACGTCGTAGAGGCAATAGTGCTACGTCTTTGGCGCTGTCATGAATTTTCAGTACCTGTGCAGCGCGCGTATTTGACTTGATAAACTCGCCTAATATTTTGTCTCAACTTCGTCTAGCAAATACCGCCATTTAGCCTGAATGCGCCATGTATAAAGTACTTCATTTTCCTTAAAAGAAAATCAGACATATTCGCAGTGGTCTCGGAGGTGGAAGGTGAAGGTTATCGATTAAGCGTGTATAGCGATGACACGGTACCACCTTTCGGGCCATCACTGCCGTGTCCGCCGGTGTTCAACGACCCACAACTTTTTAGGGAATTTTTATTAGTAAGTATTGTTCGTTGTGTATTGTTGTTGTAATTGATGGAACATTAGATTGCCAAAGGGTTCGTATAAAGTAAGGTAATGAGAAAGGTATAATATAGAATTATGTTCCCCTTGAAGAATATCTAACAATGCTTTGATAAAGGTCAGATTGTTATCATTCTTGCTGAAGTTTTGTTTCTGTAATAGTCCGCCGCTAAATATACCGTTAAATATCTACGTATATCTACAAAACAGGAAAATGTTATAAAAATACATGAAAGAGATTTTCTACAGATATCGTATATCTAACAAGTCATCTTTCTCTAGGTAAAACTAATGAATGGCGAGAAGGCAGCCTTTCAAACGCCAACTTTCGCTTTGAAAAGACAAAGAACTTTGGACACGCTAATTAGAGACATTTATGCTGAACACTGCTCCGATCATAAGGTGGTGAGTCTCATAAAATTACACGAATACAAAATTCAATTCTTAAACAAAACCAAACATTTTGCGGTCGACATTTGGACATGATTAAAAGCGCCAATTACGTGTTTTTTAAACATTTTGTAAATCGACACAGTAGGTACTGTCTAAGTCAATCTCTTATTGTTGTAACAAGCAATCCATTCAGCTCGTAAATTTAACACACAGTGGTCACAAGTGGTCGCGATCATTAGTCACGATATTTAGGAATAGAAGGTTATAGTGGTTTTGTATTTCTGGTCCTGGTTTTATTTCCAGCCTATGCTATCGCGGCGAGCGCTATCAGATGTATGGTCTGGTGGTGCTGGAGCCAGCGGCGCGGGCGCAGCAAGAACAGAACGGTTCTTACACGTAGGACAAGCGTTAAAATTAGACGCTGTATTGAGAGGAGACGCGCCCACGAGTCTCGTATCTACTGGTCAGATTACAACCGGTGATATTAAGTGTTCCGTGTAATTCCTGCTTAACTACAACAGAAATTTGTTTATCGCCTGCTTCTTTTTACATCACTGCTTTCCCGCAGGCTAACTGCGTTAAAAGAAAGACAAGAAATGGTATTAATCTTCCGCTTTAGTTTTGCCGTCTAAACCACTATTTGTCACTGTCACTCGCTTTCACAAAACAGTGTTAATTATTTTGGGTCATACTATTTTAGTTTCTGTATTGGAAAAAAAATGCATGGTCAGCTTTTGCCGTTTTAATTGCTCACTAAAGCAACACGTACCCAAATGGATATTTAATATAAAAATAAGTCATAATTATAGAACTCACTTTTGTTTAATGCTATATAGGGTCAGGAGGTTCACGAAGAGCGCCCTGGGAAGGTCGCGTGTGGAGGTCAGCCCCGTTGCCTGCGACTCCGATTTGTGCAGAACAGCTGGCTGAAGGCCGGTTGCTGCTCTCCACCACTTCTAATACTTACATTCTAGAAGGTACATACATGAAGCTACCTAGAAACATCAACTGATCTCCTTAAGTGTTTACTATTAGTGTACATTATGCTCATGAATTTTGAAACAAGTGTCAAGAAGTGTATTTTTTATTTCTCACATGTCCCATACACCAAATGATACTTTGACTTAAAAATGTTTTCTAGAGAGTGGCACGACAAAAGTGGTTCTACGTTGGGAAGGATGTGTACGCACAGCTCGGGTGACTGAACGCGCAGGCCTATTCCGCGTGGGCGCCAGAGTCGTAGGCAGTGGATCAACGAGTGGCGGCGCGGGAGGTGCGGGTGTATACGCACTGCCAGTGCAAGAATTATGCGCAGGAGCCTGGGCCATGAGACCACTGCAGGATTGCAAGCACGCGCGATTACCGAGGACGAAAACTGCTCATTACTTCGATGTATTAGAACAAGGTTAGACACAAACGTTTTGGAAGATAATTTCATATATGAAAGTTCGTAGTGACAAAATTAATTTTGGAATCAATGAATTGTTTTCTTTTGCAGGTGAAGGCGGTAAGACTACTCTAGCAGTAGCAGTTGGTAGAAGGGTCCTATTGATGATCGAAGAATCAAAGACTGATGGCGAAATGGGATTCGAATATACACATATCAAGGTGAGAATCCAGTATCCAATACAAATAAAAAAAGTTTTCTTCGCACGGCGGCATTCCCACTTACATACAGATGATCCCACTTAAAGCTACCCTTATAAAACTTTATAAGACGTTCTATTTATTCAATAGGTTAGACGCAACTAGGTATATTTTTTATCTGTTCCAGGATATACAACTATGTGAATCACCAGTACTGATTAAGCTAATAGATTTCGAAGTAGGAATAATGGTGGTGGGGTATAAACATCATTGGGAAGTTTTAGAATCTAGTAACGGACAGGTAAGGTGGAACAACTAAGATCTTGTACTTTTTTCCGGTGCACTAAAAAAATGTTGATTAAGGTGATCATACTTGTTTCCCTGCAACATGTTCTGATTCCATCAACCACAATGGAGCAACAATCGAAATGATTGTAGCAAACATTTTAAGACAATAAATTTAATCATACTGTTTGCTTCCGTCAAGGAAATTTTTGATAGTTTTATGTAAATCTCTAGCGGCGTGTTTGCACTAACACGTTTTTCTTTGTAAGTGACATGTGCCTAGTAGTGGCACATTTTTATAGAATGAAATCAAACAGAAATGTGCGCTTGTCTAAATTAAAGTAGAACAAGTTTCTGCGGCTATGCGCCGATAGCTTGTACAAGTTTTTGTTATTGTAAATTTTATTAGATTTATTGTTAGATGAGTTGCAACACTTAGATAAATCTCTTCTTCGAAATCGAATTATTCGCATACTAATACGGTTTATTTTGCTTCGGTCGAGCGACAAGGATACTGGCTTTATTTCAGAATTTATTTTCTTACAAACGAAATTAAAACCATTTCAAATATATATATCGTATAGAATACGTGTTCTATTTAGTTCCGTTGTTATAAAAAAAACATTGGTAGGGTAAGTGTACCAGTGAATGAACACACCCCTGTGAATGAACAAAACACGATTTTTTCTCCAAAATAAGAAAACAAACAATTTCTACCGTAAACAATTTTTTTTTTTTCGTTGGCAACATAATTTCGAACATGGCAATTCTTATTCCGATGACAAATACAGCTCAGTTGCAAAATGGCGTCACGGGAAAGTTGAGGTGTGCTACTAAAAATTTTTTTGTATGAGCAAGAATTTAGGGGCCAGGTAAGACATTACTTTTCTTATCGTAGTTTGGTCATCATATTTACAGTGTTTACATAGATTTTTGTTTAGATAAAGGTTATATATGACTCAATGCTTATACTCTCAGACAATTTTAATCATTTTTGTAAGTAATATTTAAATAAAACACGTGTTCATGCACTAGCTCAAGAAATTACCAAAACCCTAGTGAATGAACATATGGTTCATTCACTAGAACGTTGGCTTTTCAAAGATTTATTAATAACCCAACTTAGGCTGATAATATTAAGTTCATTTTTGCAAATAACGTTCCAAAACTGATTCCTAATCTTCTGGCTAGTGTTGGAACATAGGTGTTCTTTCATTGGTTTTTACAATCCAGTGAATATACTATGAAAAACTGACGTGTTCAAGTACTGGTGTTTCAACTTTTATTGTACCAATGAATGAACGGTATCAAATTTTGCTTTGTGATCCAAGTAATTAAGTAGATATCTACTATCAATAATGGACTTATGGCCCGTTATACTAAGTCTACATAGTTACATACATATTGTTTTTATAAAACAAGTTTTCTATCGTTTTAGGCATGCACAATGGATCCCATCAAAAAGTCCTATTCTAGATTTCGGTACACCCAAGAGACACTGGAGAAAGCACTTAATGCTATACTCAGAGGTGAAATTAGTATAAATAAGGCCAGCAAAGCGTATAATATACCAAAGTCAACTCTACATAACAAAATCAACAATAAAGTACCATGGCAACGAAAAATGGGCCCAATTTCAGAACTACCTTTCGAAGAAGAGCGAAAACTTGCTCGCTGGATTTTAAATAAAGCCAAAGTGGGTTTTCCTATGCATCCAGAAGAGGTTTATGACACAGTTAAAGATTTTTTAGACACAAACCAACGAAATACCAAATTCACTGATAACAGACCTGGTAGAAAGTGGCTATCACTTTTTTTAAATAGACACCAAGATGTAACTAAAAGAAATGCTGAACTCATATCAAAAGCAAGAGCTGCTGTTACTGAGGAAAGCTTAAGGAAGTGGTTTTTGGAGTTGGATAAATTTTTAGCTGAAGAAAACTTGCTGGATATAAAAGAAGACCCTAGTCGTATTTTTAACGCCGACGAAACTGGCATCATGACATGTCCAAAAACGGGTCTCATTCTTGGACCAAAAAATTACAAAAATACGTACGAGATAGCAACTTCAGCAGAAAAAGAGTCCATAACAGTATTGTGCACGTTTGCAGCAAATGGGACCGATGTGCCACCTTTTGTAGTGTATCCTTACAAGAGGATGCCGCCTGCAGTGGTTCACAATTTTCCAGATTCTTGGCATATAGGCTGATCAGATAATGGGTGGATGGTGTCTGAAACCTTTTTATCATATATAGTCCTGTTCTACGAGTGGCTCGTACAAAATAACACAAAATTTCCTGTGTTGCTCTTCCTAGATGGGCATAAATCTCATATAAATGAAAAAATGTTCAACTTCTGCTCTGAAAAAAAAATATTTTTGTACTGCCTTCATCCGAATGCTACGCATATAATTCAGCCTTGTGACGTTGGTATTTTTGGTCCACTTAAGAAGAGTTGGAAGAAAGTTGCAAGGAAACATAAACAGAAAACTACTGCTCCGATAACTAAACAAAGTTTTGCTGGTAAGTTCAAGGAAGCTTATGATAAATCAATAAAAGCCGAAACCATACAGAAAGCCTTCAGGACATGTGGTTTATTTCCTATTGATCCTAATGCAGTTGACTACTCTAAGTGCATCAATACAAGAAGACAAGAAATAGCTAAAGAGCAAAATAATATGGATGCGAGCATTTCTGATGACCAAAAGGATGATTTAAGAAGTACAATGAGGGTAATTGAAAATGAAGTTGGACACATCATCAAAAACGAATTCATGCAGTCTTATAATATAAATCGATCTCATGAACATTATTTATACGGTTTATGGAGTAAATGTAAGTTAAAACTTGAAAACCGAGGTCAGAGTACGGAAACCTCATCAGCCACAGATATTCCCCTTGATTTATCTAATACGTCAACTCAATGTCTGGCCGAATCATCAAATAAAGACCAACATCCTTCCTCACCTAATCCAAGCAGTCCTGTCGTGGTGACTGTTACTGAAGCACAAACTCGTGTTTGCTCCGATGAAAATAATATTAAAGCAGATCCACCTGTTCTGAGTAAGTCTTGTAGTATTCTTCTAGACGACGACATTCTATTTGAAAGTGGTATTGGGCTACGGTTTGACACCACAGACGAAATAGTAAACTTTATCATCGAAAAAGAAAAAAATAAATCTCCTATACCCTTGCCGTGGTATGATACGTTTTCGCAAATCACATCCGATGAACTTATCACAAGCTTTTGTGACATCAATAGTTCAACTGCCCAAACTTATCATAGCGAAGTAATTATGCCTGACACTTCACAATGTACCAATTTTGTTGCCACAGTTTCTTCTGAAGGTCCCTCTGTTTTGAATTCTAAAGATGACGGTGATTTGATAGATCCCTTTATACATGATGGTGATGCTGATAAACCCGAAATAACTTTTCAAGAGAAAGTAGTATCTACTCATGTCTTGGGCGATAGTAACTTAAATATTTCCAGTACTCCTTCGAGCACGATTGTGCCAAAACGCAAAGTTCCTATCGAAAACTTTTTATCTTACCCTCAAATAGAAACCAAAAAGAAAAAAACAATGAAAAAGGAACCCATGCCATTTGGTTTAACAGGACGTAAATTTAAAGAATACCTAGAAAAACTAGATATTGCAAAGGAAAAGAAAGAAGAAGATAAAAAAAATAAAAAGAAGGAAAGAGATGCCCGAATTGAATGTAGACGTGAAATTACACGGAACAATAAAAATTTGCAGAAAAAAAACACCACACCGTTACGATTACAACAAAAAAAGAAGAAAGAAACTGATCAAAACGCGCAAAATGAGAATGAATATATACAAAGAAATTTCTTGTCCACATCCGTTTCCAGTGATAATCATCCACCACATAATATAATTTGTGGTAAATATGTTATTGTGCAGTTTAAGACTGAGAAGAGAATACGTTCTTTTGTTGGAAAAATTCTGATGATTGACGACGAAAGATTAAAATGTAAGATAGATTTTTTGAGAAAGAAGAAAGTTGTTGAAAATGTTGTTAGTTTTGTTAAGCCCCAAGTCCCAGATATTTCAGAAGTACATGTTTCTGACATTGTACGTGTTCTGGATGAACCAAATTGTTCACGACGAGGAATGATCTCTTTTACTGACGTAAGCTTTAAAGACATAGAGTGAGTCCTTCTTCTTCATTCTTAGCTAGGTAGTAAGTGAAAAAAGATCTCTTTATATTATATTATGTTGTTCCTATTAATGTTTGTTACATAGGTACTAGGTGTATATTTTGAGACTGAAATAATTAGATAAGTATAACTTTAATAGGTACCTAATTATGTTATGCCAATACTTTAAGAATGTTATCCTGTGAGTTAAAGTTTAGTTAAGACTGAAATACATTTTTGGGTTGATTTAAACAATGACTTCAGTCACTGTTATATATTTGTAACTTTAGCTTAAGTTAGTGTAACAATTACTGTGAAATGTTTTTAAAACATTTATGTTTTTTATTATTTCATAAATACAATATTTGTGTTCATTTACTGGGTTTTATTGCGTTCATTTACTAGCAAAAGGCGTTCATTCACTGGTGATTCAGGGTATTTTCAGATATTTTATCAAATATTTTGATAACTGTTCTAAATACAACTCTGAAGAATCGTTTTAATGAATCTTAAATAGTGAGAGGTCACCATGGTAGACGTCAGGCTGTAAGAATATTGAAATTGTATTATTAATAAATTTAAAAAGTTGAGAATTTCCTTAAGGTTTCATTCACTGGTACACTTACCCTATATGTAAAGTACCAATTGAATACAACGGTTTTCTTGTAAAATTTCTATATATCACTTTAGAATCCAGACTAGCTTGATATGAAAAAAAAACATGCAGTTTATGTCGAAATATACGATACAAGCTACGATTTCAGGCAATAAAGAGAGTCGATAGTTCAGACGACACAGGCCCCCGACGAGGAACTCTTGTTAATGCATTACGGATCGGAGACGAGAGGGACGGGCAAATTGTACTCTGCTACAATCGTAAGTAAAGTCAAGAACTTAACAGAAAACTAACTATAATATTTAAAAAAAACACTAATACATGAATATATTGTACGTGTTTTAGATACATGCCATTTTGAAAGACTAACAAGCAAAGGGCTGGAAAGCGACGGAGAGTACGATTTCCACTGGACAACTGTTCCAGCAGCGATAGGTATACGACTTACATTTTTTTTAGATTACTTAGATCAGTAGCAGAATAGCTCCTTGTGAAAGAGTTCATCTAGAGAAGTACTGCCGCCTTACCTGTATCTTCCGCCAAGCAGTAATGTCAGCATTACTGTGTTCCGGTTGTAAAGGGTAAAGGTGCTGCTGAAATTACAGGCACATGAGACTTATGTCTCAGGATGACGGGCGCAGTGGCAGTGCCCCTTAGATCTTTGCGGTTTAAAGTTCAGAGTGGCACTGCAACTGTTATGTACAGGCAGGCGTTTAGCTTACCATCAGGCGCACGACTTGCTCGTTCCGTCATTTGATATTGTAATAATCTCAGTACAGAGTACTAAAAAAACGGACCTCAAAAGTACGTAGAATTACATATAATTACCAAGTTTTATTTAAATCGGTTACCGGAAAGTGCGCAAACCCTGATTCATCCCCTAGTTCGCCACTATACGGGACTTGACACAGGAGATAATAAAAATCGGTTCTCACTACTCAAAGTATATAAGAGAGCAAAACGCCTTGAATTAACAAAATTATGTAAACAAAAGTATAATATATCTTCAATACGTTCGTACGCCTAGTGTTTGGTCAGACACAGTAAAAATATACTTCATTTGTTACATGTGAACTTCTGTACAACCTGTATTTTCACAAACAAGCAAATGAATTATTATGGCTGTCTGGCAAGGTTTTTATTATTATGTATGGTTTAATTCCGTTCTATGGAATAAATTTTTATTTCAAAGACTGCGATTTCTCTTACAGATTGTTAGAACCTTATAGTGTAGATCCTAACGTTTTCTTTTCTTATTGCAGATGTATTATTAGTTTTTCTTTTACAAAAACCGTAAACAAATACTTACTTGTTACAGTATGCGCTTTTCCATACATAATGGCATTCGCAGAAGATCTTCTGGAAATACGATTGGTTGCAAACGGATCTTTGGTGCATGCAGCTTGCATACCAGGCCTAAAACTGTTATGCGGGAGTAGAGTATGTATTTTTTTAATATTACTTAAATAATAACATAATAATGCATTTTTCTTTATTTAGACATCATGATAGCTCCATTTTTAGTAACATGCATTTGGCAGTAGCAGTAGAGCTCCTCCGGTCTTTACGGTTTAAAGCTCTGCATGGCACTGCAACTGTTATATACAGGCGTGTCGCTTATCACCAGACCCACGACTTGTTCGTCCCTTCACTTGATATTATAAAAAAACTTTCATAATTAATAAACATTAATTCTGCCGCCATTAGTTGAAAGGGCGCTTGTGACAAAACCTCAAAACCGAGAAACAAATGTTTGATGAAAAGAAATTTAAAAAATATGTATATACTTTTCTCTTGTAACTTATCCACTTAGGAAATAATTTAAATCGTGACGGCCTTTTTTTACGGAACACGGCAGTATTTTTGAAAAATGCCACATGCGTTACATCATGCCTAAGTATAGGTTCCATCAATGTGTTACTAAACATTTTCAGGAGACTGTTACTAACTGTTCCTAGTCCTCCGCAGCAAGGATGTTGTCTTCTTCCTAATCATTACATAAAAGTCGCCCGTTTGCATTTCTGCAAACATACCTAATGCACTGCAGAAACGCGGCAAGCCCAATGGCAACCTGAATCCGTTATTATATTGAATACGGGAAGCATTCAGCGATTTATTAGTGGTAATTTGTCCATAGGGCACTCAATTGACAATAGGATTACTCAGTAATTTTATTATTATTATATACGAGATAGAGATGCATTTCACAAAAGGTTCTCTGTTCAAAAATACCCATCAGTATATATACATATTGTTTACGGCTCAATTCACATTGCCGCGGAAGGGAATAGAAGCGAATTTTTGTAACGAAATTGTACATAGCATAATGAACTCATGTCAATTGTGTAACATACAATCTAGATACAATATGGTATCTGTGGGAACCTGTAGCGACCTGTGTTTTGACTCGTATCTAGTTTGTACATTACACGATTAATATAAAGTTCATTATGCAATGGTTACAAAACTTGGCTTCTATTCCGTTCCGCAATGTAAATTGTACCTAATAATATGTGCGGCAAATAATATGTGCGGCAGCCGCGCTTCTACAAGCGTCTAATCCGAAGGCACCCTTAGTATTCCTAGATCAGTGGTAACATAATATTGTTTACTATAGGACATCTTCTACGTGGCGTGTGCACCGGAATACGTACCTCTGACTAGGGAGATCGATCCAGCTTTATTACAACACGAAAATTACGAATTGGTACGACAAATGAGTAAATGTGGGCCCTACTCCGTTGACGAGGATGAGAACAATACAGAAAACAAGTGAGTTTTGAACGCGTTATTAAGTGGCGGAAACTTCCCTTTTTCATCATCGGTGGAGCAGACGTAGACTGCGGTTCCACCCCTATGTTGTGGTTAACCCAAGGATTCGCACGAAGTGTTTCGCTTCCACATTTATATAGCGAATTGCTATGAAGTGGATTTCTCTGCCTGTTCTCTGAACAGTATAACGTTTATAACCGGTGTAACGTTGGGTCTTTGAGAATGAATAAGCATTAGGTGTGCATGTTCCATTGTCGACCTCATCGTCACGCGTCGGGGCAGAACCACCTAATCTTTAATACATTTTTTTTTAATATCTATAAGATTTCTATAAAATTCTAATCCTATTTAAAAAAATATCTATATCACTATTTTCGTCGTAAACTTTAATTCAATGCGGTTGTGCTGCGGAGCATTCTCCCCGACAGAACCACCAATAAATATCTATTACTACACATAGTATAAACAAATATATGGCATCTAATAATTCTATAACAATTCTATATTGACCTAGCAACACCAAACCCTCAATCTATTTTGAATACTTACAATATATACGAACAAACCGACACACGGTGGGCTGAAAATCGGCTTTCATAGACTTAGGGATTTCTTTGCAAGCGTCAGTTTTTTTGCCGAATATTGCTTCTTTTAGTTATTACTATGTACAAATATGACACCCGAGTTGATTATGTTCAAAAACGAAGGAGTTATAATTCTTTTTCGAAAAATTTGTATGAAACTTGTATGAAAAATCGAATTATCTTTTAAACGGCAAGGAAAACCGTAATATCCTTACAGGTGGTTATAGCACTAATTATTTATGATTTTTTGGCACACTCCAGATATCGGTCATAAATGCCGTTTTTTTTTAAAAAAATCATCAAATTATTTTTATTTATTTTACATGTGAAACGAAATGATTTAGTCTTTGAGTTGAGGAACACAAACTTTTTACAACACGTAACATAAAATACTATCAACCGTATATTCCCAAAGAGTAAGCAGATGTTTACAGTACACCCACACTTAGACAAATATTGTTTAGTTGTGATTAAGTAAGTAATTACAACGATATTGTCTTCTAATGAGTCAGAATAGGTTATTAAATGATTCTCTCTCAATACCGCACAACAATGCCAACTATGGACTTAATTAAGCTTTTTTCTGATGAGTAAGCTAATTTGTTGATTAATAGTTTATGTAAAATGAAACTAGAAAATGGACACGTCCTCTGCTACGCTCACGACACTGCAGTTGTGTTCACTGGTCATTCGTCGGAATCTGTACGTAACTCTGCAGAAAAGGGACTTCGCAAAATAGCAAACTGGTTTAATTCAAACTTGCTCACTCTTAATATGACAAAAACCAATTACATCTGTTTCACCATAAACAGTACCACTCAGCCCAACAACAATTTTACAATTAAAATCCATACCTGTGCTAATCTCGATACGTGTTCTTGTGAAGCTATAGAAAAAGTCGCGTCTACAAAATATTTGGGCATAGTGGTTGACCAACGATTATCGTGGCACCAGCATATAGAACTGGTAACGGCTAGAGTGAGAAACCTTATATGGATATTTAAAAAACTCAGGCATGTATTAGACAAAAGCCTTATTAGGAGCATTTATATAGCATTGGGGCAATCTGTAATGAGCTACTGCTTGCCAGTTTGGGGCGGAGCAAATAAAACGAACTTCTTGTACTTAGAAAAGGCTCAGCGATCCTTGTTGAAAGTTATTTATTTTAAACCCTATAAATTCTCCACAGAGGTTCTCTATCAACAAGCAAATGTCCTGACTGTTAGGAAGTTATATGTTTTACACACCATCCTCTGTGTCCACAAAACTTTGCATTTAAATCATGCACTTCTCGACAGACGACGCCATTATCAGGTAGCTGCCGTAACTAGAGTTCGTACCACCTATGCCCAAAGACAATTTGTTGGACTCTCCACTTATCTTTACAATCTTGTTAACAAGACAGCAAATATTTATACGAAAACCTCCCGAGAATGTAAAAAGGCATTAGGTGATTGGCTTAGGATAAAGACATATGATGAAATTGAGGCCCTAATAAAAATGGGTGAATAACTCATTTGTATTATTTACTTAATTAGTCTAATTAAGTTGTCTTATCCCCATACATTTATATGCAAACAACCACATCATAGAAACGTGCGCCCACCAATACACAGAAACACAGGCACTCAAACACACACCAACACACACCAACACAGGCACTCAAAGACACCAACACAAAACACACACACACACACACACACACACACACACACACACACACACACACTTAAACTTAGTTCATAGTGTATTTTGTTTTGTTTTTATTCTTTATTTACTGTTAATAAAAATGTAACTTTGAGGAGCGGGGCTTCTAACACAAGTAAATTTTACTTACAAGTAGCCCCAACATCGGACATTGTAAAATTATTATCTAGTGAATAAATGAATTTTGAATAAATGAATTTTGAATTTTGAGTTGTGCTTTCAGTTCTAAAAAAATATATATATTTTAAGCGCACATATTTTTAAACTCTAATGAGGGCTCTAATGAGAGTTAACTAATTAACTAACTAATTATCGCCTTTTTGCAATAAAAGGGCTAACATTTTGCTTAATAATTTATATCGTTCACAACTGTGTAACTGCTAACATTAAATCTTTGCTCAAAATTTGAAAATGGAAAGTTTAATCACCAATTTAGACTTGTTCGTTCTTCTAAAAAGTGAGAGTACTTCATTTAATCATGAAGTATTGTTTGGTGCTATTGTATCCCGCATAGGCGATTGCCTTTCTGATGAAGATCAAGTAACTCTGAAAGAGTTTTGTCGGAGATTCACGCGAGCTGCTTTACAGAGGTGGAAGAAATCCAATCGATTCATTGATAATTTCAGAAGACTATACGGGAATTGGCTGCAAGCAAATATTGATTGGCCAAGTTGTGTGCAAACTTTACTTCATCAAGAACCAACTGCTGATGAGTTACCAGACACACACTCAGTCTTTCAAGAACCGTCTACTTCATCGTGTGTTGGAACAATGACGAAAAGGTCCCGAAAACCATTCGAAGATCTGGGAAGCAAACAAAAAAAGAGAAGATCTGATAATCCTGCAGGCGAAAATTCCAGTGAATTAGCATATGCAGCTGCAGCACGTTTGGAAGAAGAAAGGCATGATGATATCGCATCTGTAATCGAGTACATGATGAAAAATCCAGAAGCAGCCGTTACAATTAATAAAACGCTTAAGAAACCATTGAAAACATATTTACACCAGAGAAAGCGCTTGAATTGCTTCTTTCACTAAAACTGTCAAAGTGGCAATATATTACGTTGCGAGAGGCTGCCATTCGGGAAGGTGCTGAGGGTATTTATCCATCTTACTATAAAGTGCAACAAACTAAGCTTGATTGCTATCCTCCGAAGCAATCAGTATCAGTTACGGATTCATCGGGCAGGATTACCCAAGCTTTACATGACATCACGGTGACTAGGATCCTTCAGTCTTGCTGATGATGTGCAAAATAAACAGCTAAAGCTAATATCTAAGTGGCATTTGATGGTGCTTCCAACCAAAGTCGATACAAACAGAAAATGGAAAGTGAGGAAGATGATTCAAGCATTTTCATGACCACATTAGTGCCATTAAGACTGACAGATGGAGATAATACTTTATGGACGAACCCAAAACCTTGCTCGGCTTTGTATTGTCGTCCAGTTCAGTTTACTTTTGTAAAAGAGAGCAAAGCAGTTGTCATTGATCACAAAAGACAAATGGATGATGAAATGAAGGCCCTTATCCCCACAGAATGCAGTAATAGTAACAGTGTGACACATCAACTAATGATGTCAATGATCGACGGTAAAGTCTGCACTTATCTTTCTGAAGCCAAATCAAATGCATCGTGCTACCTGTGTTTATCGAAACCAACAGAAATGAACCACTTAGATGCTGTAACATCAAAGACCGTGTGTTCTGATATATATGAGTTAGGCCTGTCATCCCTACATGCCCGAATAAATTGCATGGAATGTCTGTTACACATTGCGTACAGACTTGACTTCAAACAGTGGGCTGCGAGAAGTAATGAGCACAAAGAAATGTTGCAGACAAGAAAGAAACTGATTCAAAATAAATTCAAAGATGAGCTCAATCTGTTGATTGATATAGTGAAACAAGGTTCAGGAACTACGAATGATGGGAATACAGCCAGAAAGTTTTTCGAGTTTCCCAAAAAAACTGCAACTATTACCGGGTTGGATGAAGAACTTATCAAGAGATTTGCTGTTGCAGGCAATCACAGCTGGAGAAAAGATTGACGTTGTCAAATTCAAAGATTTTGCCCGCAAAACAGCAGAAAAATATGTGGAATTATACGACTGGTATTACAAGTCGGCAACTGTGCATAAATTATTAATTCACGTGGCTGACGTAATAGAGAAAAACGACAGTGTGCCTATTGGGACTCTTTCGGAAGAAGCCTCAGAGTCTCGAAATAGAGATTTCAGGAGATTCCGGGAACATCATTCACGGAAAACAAGCAGGCAAGATTCAAATCAAGACATCCTGAATATGCTTCTTGTGTCTTCGGATCCTGTTCTAAGTGCACAAAGGCCTAAATTAGATGCCAAGAGAAAGCAGAGCTTTTTTGCTGAAACTCTTGATCTAATTTAGTTTCAGCAGACTGAGTTCGAGTTTTTAGATATCTCCAATCTGGATTCTGACTCGGAATTGGAGTCCGACAACGAGAGCGATAAGGAGAATTTGTAAATTTAATTACATATTATGATTTCTTGCTATTTTTGTAAGTTTATTGTACCAATAGGTTTAAATAGTTATTAATTCATCAAATTAGTTATTAAAATATTTTGTATGTTGTATTTAATGTAGGTACTACTTTTTTAAATATTTTTTTGGTTTTTAGATATTTATGTAGTTAACTAGAAATGTTTCATTTTTAGTTTTGTCTTTGGTTAGGTTTTAGTATTAGTGCTTAGGTATTTATTATTTGATGTAAGTGTAATTTTTTTAATTTTGTTTCAGTTTAATAATATTACTTGAAAGTTTTATTGTATGTTTAATATTTTTTATAAAATTGTGTTGTAACTTCATTTGAATTAAAATATTTTTTGTATCTATTTTATAGTATTTTAATATTTTTGTAACCTCTGTTTTATTTAAGTTATTAATAAAAAAATAATAAGAAACATATATTTTTTATTTCATCTTGTTTTGTATATTCTTATTATTTGGAAATACTACGTTCTTAACTTAGACACTAAAAGTAAAAACAGTTCCTTTTAGTGTGTAACTTGAAAATGTATAAGAATATATAAATAAACAAGAATATTTTAACAATTAAATAGGTAGTTGTAATTACTTAATCCCTTGTTTTTAGATTCATTAGAAAACTAAACATTATTTATCTAAGTGTGGGTGTACTGTAAACCTCTGCCTACTCTTCGGGAATATAGGGGTGGATGCTACACGCAAAATAGGCGCCTTGACGTTGAGTTGCGGACACCAGCCCGTTACACCAAGTACCAAGTAGGGGTGATGCTATTTTATGTAAAAAGCTTGTGTTCCTCAACTCAAAGACTAAATCATTTCGTTTCACATGTAAAATTAAATAAAAATATTTTGATGATTTTTAAAAAAAAACGGCATTTATGACTGTTATCTGGAGTATGCCAAAAATTATAAATAATTAGCACTATAACCACCTGTAAGGATATTACGGTTTTCCTTGCCGTTTAAAAGATAACTCGATTTTTCATACAAGTTTCATACAAATTTTTCGAAAAAGAATTATAACTCCTTCGTTTTTGAACATAATCAACTCGGGTGTCATATATGTACATAGTAATAACTAAAAAAAGCAATATTCGGCAAAAAAAACTGACACTTGCTAATTGAAATCCCTAAGTCTATGAAAGCCGATTTTCAGCCCACCGTGTGACGCCTCAAACTTTCTATTCGAAATAGTCGCTAAGCGCTTACTTAAAAGTTCTTGGCAAGGACATGAAATATCATATAATGTGTACTTCCAGGCGTTTAATAATTATCGTAATTTAAAATAAATATTGTCTCGTGGTACTGATAAGATAGTTATTTAACCTAGTACATTTTCATGTCATTTTCCTGTTAGGGCTTATAAATGATTAAATATTATTATTGTCAATGTGTAAGGTGTGTACATAATAAAAACAAAGTCATGGAGCAAACTTACTCACGGAACTTAAGTAAATCGACTACCGACATTTTTGTAAAATCATCGTTGATTCGCATATTGTACTGTAATTTAATCAGTGCAGCGTTTGTAACTGTTGAATTATTTTATTCCAAATGTGCTCCCTCATAATATCTGTGGATTTATTTTTTGGCAGGCGTCGTTTATTATGATAGTGAAATGTTGGCTTAACAGGAAAATGACATGAAAATGTACTAGGTTGAATAACTGTTTTACCAGTAACATGAGAAAATATTTACTTTATTTTATTTTCTTCGATAATTACCTAAACGCCTGGAAGTGCACATATGATATTTTATGTTCTTGCTAAGAACTTTTATGTAGGCGCTTCGCGACTTTTCGAGGAAAAAGTTAGAGGTGTCGTTTTGTTCGTATATTCAAAATAGATTGAGGGTTTGGTGGTGCTAGGTCAATATAGAATTGTTACAGAATTATTTGATGCCATATATTTGCTTATACTATGTGTAGTAATAGATATTTATTGGTGGTTCTGCCGGGGAGAATGCTCCGCAGCACAACCACATTGAATTAAAGTTTACGACGAGTCTAGTGACATAGATATTTTTTTAAATATGACTAGAATTTTATAGAAATCTTACAGATATTTTTGAAAAAATAAAAAATTATTAAAGATTATGTGGTTCTGCCTCGGAGTATGACGCATCGTCACTTTCCATCAAGTGAGATAAAGGTCAAAAACCCACTTAATTTTTAATAAAAAAATATAAAAAGATATGTTGTTTTAAAAGTGGTGTTAATTATAATCTATGTAGAATGAAAGAAAAGGTGCCTACAGAGTCGCTCGATTTCTTGACAATCGAAATGTGATCAAAGGTGAAATCGAGTAACTTGCTTGCACAACATGATCGACATCGTATTTTTTGTCGATTGACACTGTGGAATTTAAATTAGGCGTACGTGTCTACAAATTTGTTCCATTTAAAGATTAATATTTATCGATCAGTAACAGGTGATAGTAACGATTGTTAAGAATCGATCAATTCTGTAGGCATCTTTAGAAACTTTTTTATAGAAGCAATTTTCCTACAACACTTCGTTATTTGGATAGGTTTTGACCTACCCGTGTGTATATTTACCTAAACTTAAAGAAGGTAATAAACATGAAGTAGATAATGACTCCTGAAATTCCGGAATTATTGTACTTCTACTATTCTTAAATATACTCGACTTATGACTTTTCGAATTACTTTTGCTTTTGCATTACGTTCACAGGGGAGAAATAACGGCACAGACTCGCACAATGTCTGAAACGAATTCAACGTCAAGCCGTAGCAGCTCCTTATCTTCGGAACAAGAGAACATACGACCTCCTCTGCAGCGTATGACACCCATTTCTCCACCGGTCTCACCTCAGGGTAATTCACACACACACCTGTACACGCTAACACTCAAAAATACACAGGACACGATAAAAACGGATGTGTGATATATTATCAATAAATTTCCATATGCCAACTAAGCCACGGAACGACCTAGCGGACCTTACGAATTTTTATATGTGTTTGTTGCAGATCTTTATTTTTGGTTTTAAACGACTTTTTGCCGCAGCGCCATCTGTGAGAAATCTATGAAAGTTTTTCTTCACTCAGCCAGATACCTTCACAGCTACCAGCAGCTGATTAGAAATGTCGCTTTAATAATTGTAATTTCTAAGTTTATTGAATGTCACGTCGTTTGACACCATGATATATTCAATTATTTTTGTAAAATTACTTATAACAAACGTCACATTCAATAAACTTAAAAATTACTAATATTATTGTCAAGTGGGAACATATTTAAAGTTAACCGCGACATAATAGAGTTAATAATTTGTACAATCAAGGGCTGGGGGACTAGAAGACTTAGGCCTTTTTGATTCCGCGATTCATTGGCATCCTAGTTTAGGCTCCTATCTCTCACAAAATTGAATTCTTAAACTCTATTCTTTGTTTGTACTTATTTGTTATGAGAGAAATAAACATTATTATTATTACTCAATATGGCGGTCGTAAATTAGGCCACTTTTGTGTTACAAAACGTTCGATAAAAATAGAAGACGTTGACATACATACAAATCACCAATCTAAAGTGATAGCAAGGCATATCTTATGTATGACCTAAGGCGAAGTTCCAGATATTTGTTTATATCATTGTATTAAAAAACTCACTACCTGCTTCCTTAGGGCGCGTTCCCACTATGTCGTGACGACAGATTGTCGTGCAGTTTACAGTGTCGTGGCTTGTATATTTAAATGAAGTTATTCACATATCGCACGACACGATTAACTATCGTTCACGATTTTTTATCGTTACAACGACATACTGTCGTCACAGTGGGAACAGCTAAAACGACAGTCGTCAGACGATAAAAAAACGTCACGATAAAAACGTGACGACAGATTGTCGCAGCTCCTATTGTCGTCACGTTTTATTTATCGCTGTCCGCACGTATTCTGCTCCCTGCCCTCCTCTCTCGTACCCCGTGCCCTCTGCTCGCTTTGCAGTAGCGTTTGGTCTGAGCCAGAGATGGGCAAGGAGGCTGTCGTGAAACGATAAATTGTCGTTACGATCTAGTGAGAACAGCTAGTCACGACTGTCGTTCAACGATAAAAATCGTCCACGACAGATAGTCGTGATATGGGAACAGGATACACACGACAGTCGTCCAACGATAATAAAACGTGACGACATAGTGTGAACGCGCCCTTACACTTACACACCGCTAAAAAGTTAATTTCAAGTCATGCAAAAATATATAGTTTATACTTATAACGTATGATTTCCACGTCAAGGATCCAATGCACTCTGTTGTCTATTGCAGTGCTTCCAGAGAACAGCGGGCGATGCGTACGCATCTACAAGATCCCACAAAGCAACCTGAGTGCTGGGGCCTATCAAAGACAGTCCGTTTCTGCAGATCAAGTCGTTACTTCTTACTTTTCGGATAGGTAACTACCACAAAATAAGAAAAAAAGCTATTACAATAACCGTCGATATATAAAACTTCCTGAACATATAAGTTCTTACGTAACTATCTGGAAAGGCCAACGGTTCTCGAAGAAGCTAAATACTATTCAGTCGACTAGGAGTTCATCCTAACCCATTGCTGAATTAGGAGACCAAAAGAGTCGATGTACTGTGTAATTAAGGGGTGACAGGGCAATGACCCTAATCTTCTTAAGCACCCCATTTCTTAAAAACTAATCTGCCCATAGTTTAGTCGACTGATTGCAAAGTTTCAAGGAAAAAAGTTCCTTGTTAAGGGCCCGAGACCAGTAATGGATATACCCTAAGGCCACCCTAGGCCCGGGCCTAGGGCGGCCAGATTTTAGGGGCGACCAATCGTGACAAAAAATTCACTGAAGATAACAAGAAGTAACCTACTAACCTAAATACCTAAATATTTTAAAGGCTCACGCACATTATGGCGGGCCGCACTGCACCGCATCGTATAACAATAATCTTCCTAAATCACTTTTGCACTTTTTATTTGTAAAATATAGATATGTCTAACAGTAGGTACATGAGTGCTGAGAAAGGGGCGGCTGGTACTGACTACATGGCCTGGGGCTTAGGGCGGCCAAGACTGCAAATCCGCCCTGCCCGAGACGGTAGTTTCTTTGAAAACATGTACGAATTAGTTCCGAAAAAATAGTTACATTTCCAGCGAAAAAGTTCTTACGTAGTCGAAACTGAATTTAACTAATCATTATGTTTCAGACCAAACAGCATACGGCAAAGATTAGCAGAGTTAAGATTGGACAGCAAATCAAGAGGCGGAGGCGACGACGAGACTATGTAAATATTAAACTAACGCGACATACGTCATAGGATCGCCTGGAAGAAAGTAGACAGGAGAAAACGAAAATTGAAGATCATTCTAGAAAAAAATACCGCACTAACGTGTGGCTGTACAAAAAGTCAGTACCTGCACCAAAATGAATGTTGATTAATTTTAAAGGAGATGTAGTTAGATATCGAATCTGGTGCACAATTTTGACGTATAAATTTACAAATTATAAAAATTAATTATTCCAGTTGTTGGTATACTGCAATGTCTAAGATAGTTAAGGAGTGAATGCTATGAATATACCTGTAACAGTTTATAATATTTGTAGTCTTGTTGCAATTAGCTGTAGATATATGTTAGGTGAAATAATTATGTATGAAGATGAAAATTATTTGTGATACGAGTGATGTGATGTGTAGTGAATGAAAAAATATATATATTTATAAAATAGTCGATATTTTACCATGTTGAAATATAGATGTTTTATCCCCAAATGTTGTAGACGCTAAGCATAAAATGCTAGATTACATTGCTACATAAGCTGCTAGTCTAAATGGAACGAAATACAATTTAATATTGGATAATCTCTAGCTGTAATTAATGTAAACAGTCTATCGATGGAATGTTATTTTAAAATTTAGAATGTCTATGGGATGATAAATAACAACGTAGTACTCAAAACGTAGATTTTAAACAAAGTAAGACATAGATACGTATGTATTTAAGTTACTGTGCACAAATTAATGCTCAAAAAGTTAAAGATTTTAATCGAGCCTCATATTGAATTTCACACGTTGAAACGTTATTAATAATGTTAATATGGAATGTTTATAAAATAAGTACACTACATTTACAAAACGTATTAAAAATAATATTAATTCCCGTTAACAGAATCTGGCGTATACCTAAATATACATAAACGCGTACATCGTCGGTCACATCATCCCTTGCAATCAAATGAGATTGCGGCCAAGGGTGTGTCTGTTTTATATTTCAAAAATATCTCGGTGTATAATAATAATAATAAGCTAATGACAAGACAAAAAGTGATGTTGTATCATAGTTCTGAGTAGAAATTAAGTGATTGCAAATTGATTTATAGTCTCCTGAATGTACGGACAAAAGAAAAAAAGTGCCATCCAATTATTTGGTTATTTCTCTAGATTTAATCATATATAAACTTTTAACATTTGCGATGCAAGAGAATTGAAATCTTATTAAGTGTTGATACAAGTCTTATCTTTGTTGTAAATAGTACATTATTATAAACATTACATTTGAACGTTTTACATACTATCGATTGTTTGTGATCATGATCATTAGGACTGCTTTACCAGGCGGAGAGTAATAAAAAGAAAGCGGATAATAATGTTGCTGTCTCTATCGACCGTGAAGTGAGCGCGCGAGGCGAGACGAAGATAGAAATTTGTACAGCATAATTCATTTCTCTCCTAGCATGTCTTCTGTGGAAAGGGTCTGAATTCACGAGGATGTGCGAGACGAAAATTGAAATATTTGTTGGTATAATTGAACCGTATTGTTGACTACATAAAGTGTTAAACACTCTGCAAAGGGAACACGATTGTAGAAAACGTACAATTTAAAATTTTTAAAAATTGGCTTTTCTGCAATTGCAACGTGCCCTGCAGTTGATGTTTTCAAAATTTATCAAGTAAAGGCTTTATTGGTATTTCAATATTTTTATTTTACTATCAACCTTAAATTAAGTATTAATATTGCCATACCAATGACAACTTTTAGTGAAAATAGACCGGCGAGATTGCAATTCTCGTTTCGCCTCGCAGGTGGAAAACCTCCTTAACGCTCGTCTAGAAATCACTTCCGCGTGAAATATTTACATATTGTAGTTTGATGTTTGATGTTACTCAAACAATATGTTAAACACTTGGATAAAACTTCTTAATTATAATCAATTATTTATCTATAAGAGTCATCAAAGCTTTGCAAAATCTATTCGAAACATTTTTCAAAGCGAGCCAAAACAAAAAAATTAGCCTTTGTAATTTTGAAATTTTAGACAATAATACAATGTATTTAATAAATTATTGACTTCAAAACTAAGTACCGAAAATAGGATTCAAATAGAGTTTGTAGAGAATCCACTGGCACTAAAAAAACATCGTACAAGAGCGAAATAATAGGATATACAGACTTTATCTGAGGCCGCATTAAATTATCAAATTTAAAGATGGAACCTATAGCACAAGAGTAGGCGTAACAATCCAGACTCCGTAATCAAATTTCCATGCAGACATATTAGGAACAATCGTAAGTATAAATAGTAAGTAAAGCGTTGAAATATTCATTGATATTAAGAATATTAAGCATTATAAAGAACTCTTTGTGTGAACTTATATATACCAAATTTAATTAACCAAATAAATTTGAATGGTTAACGATGTAAAATACCAAAGAAAGAACCAAACTGATAGATGTTAATCTAATTTAAGTGTATGTACATTATTATTCAAATGTTTGCAAATGTAATAGGAGTACACGCGTTATTACGAGTAGAATAGACTACGTAGAAAATAATTCTAGAATTAAACTGAAAGAAGATAGATATGTCCCTACAGTCGTATGAAATTATATTTATGTAGAAACATTGTCTCTTTAGAGCCAGATCACATGACAAGCATTAGGCTCTATTTGGGTAATTTTCAGGTTAGTTTTCTCTACCTAATTTCGCAGTTTCTATTATTTAAATATTGTGGAATAAAGTATTATTTAACTCAATTAGAAAGTGTCATTCGTGTTAACTACACACTAGACTTTGTTGAGTTTTCTTAAAATATTAGATACAAATTTACAGTTACTGTCACTTATTTAATCTATTAATGTTTATACACTTATTTCATTTGGCATGTTGTGTTCATATCTAGTAGAATACATTCTTATCGTATCACTATTTCAATGAAATACGTTTAGTTTAAATCTGAATTGTATCCAGTTTTGCGAACCGAATAAAAAATAATCGGGTGTAATAACCCGAAATGTTATTTAACATTTCACGATAATTTACCCTAATTAGCCACCGAAATTATGTTGAAAAAACTAACCTAAATGTTAACATTGTCGCAGAATCTAATAGAAGCTAATTTTTGTAACGAAATTATACATAGCATAGTGAATTTTATATCACTCCTCACACGAGACGGTGGCTGCCAAATTTCTCGAGACAGCGCGAGAAATCTCCCGAAGACACGGGACCTGTTTTTTAACTCGTAACCGGTTTGTACCAAGGTTATTACTGATACAGGTATTTTACACATTAGCAGATGCTGATGCGGATATAATACATTGTGAAAAGTGTACAGGTCTTTATTGAATCTACTTGGAAAAGGTTTATTGATGATTGTGGCAATTATTTACAAACAGTCAATCAATCTGCCAAGCTTGTATCATACTGGAATTTTATAAAAGGCTGAATTGCTATTTCAGCTAGCAGTCTGTTTCTGGATGGTTTGTAAATTATTCCAGTGTGCCGCAATCCCCGTTCCTTTAGGTAATGTCATGAGGCGAATATCCGTAACTAGTATCAGCATCCATCGATTATCCACGGATGCAATTTGACATTTGCCACAACTCTGGTTTGTACGTGTCACGATTCGTTCCACACAGACACAACGTTCATTATGCTATGTAATTTCGTTGCCTTAGACGCGCAAAAAACACGCGTTTTAGCAACACTCGCTTATAACTAAACGAATTTTATTCGTAAATAGCCGTAGGTGTCCACGTACTATAACACCAGAATAAAATTCGTGTAATTGCAAGCGCGCGGTAGTGCGTACAAATCTGGCGAATACGCCTGCTGCACACGTGCATTTCGTGGTGCGATCTGTTCGCGCGCCATAATGTAAGCCTTGCGTGAGATGTGATTACAGACTTAATAGGACTCACACTCTTAGCAAAACGCGCGCTCAACCTGCGTCTAAAGTCCACACACATTAATGCAGAATAGGCTTGAGCCGTACAGAAAAAGATGCTAAAAGAGCGTAAAAGTAATTGTGAGTTTTGATTCTGCGCGAACCCCCTACGCAAAACACACAACGATGTATATTAATGCCTTTTCTGACCAGCTTAATGTGACTGTCATCTGAACCAGGCCTTAGTGTGAATTGCAACTCAAATTAGTGAGCACAAACCAATTCGAACGTTACAATTGTCCATGGAAGTGTGAATAAACTAAGTGAATGATCAAAACAAACATTTATTCGATTGTTTCATCGATTGATCCTTTTTTAGCGTCACATAACATTTACGTGTATTTCTGTGTAATGAACAGTGTAGACATGTAAACTTCCCTAAGAATGCCTAACCGCGTAATATGGTATCTAATGTTTGGACATAGAGATTATTTTGCTATCTGGGAACCGGAACGTTTTTTATGTGAATTGATCCTGGTTAAGAAATAAAAAACTTTGATAACTTTTGAGTCTAATAGAGTTGTACGCGGACAACAGCACGTCGGCCTTATGTGAGGTTCAAATTCAGCCTAATGTAACGTGAAGTAAAGTACAAGGCCCGGCGTGGTGTTGAAAGAGGTACAACTCGAGTTAAAACCTAACAGTACAGTATTTACCAGTGTATAGTTCATTAATGTAAAACCTACGTACATAATAACAATTGTCAATACAGTGGATAAAAATTAAAACAACATAAATACCTCCATCAAATAGAAGTTACATATAACTTATGAATATTTAAGAACATTATAAAAAAAATCGGTTATTCATATACAAAATAAATTATTTCATAAATTATTTATAAACTATTATAGGCCTATCAGCGCTTAAAAATGTAAATACCATTATATCCAATACATGATAAATCACATTATTACAGAGGAAAGATAATTTTCAAAATAACAGATAAAAGTATATGATATATTTACTTTAGAACATATAGTATATAACTATAATACAAATAAGTGCATGTATAGTAAAATATATAATATTGTTTGAATGGTAATGTTAAAAAAGTCAAATGTTCCCAAATAACGTTTACCCTGTTATTTTCTCTGAGGTTTAAATAAATGTCTGTTAAATAAAACGTAGCGTTTTATTTTGTAAGTCATTAAAATAGCCACTAGAAATAAAAACAACTGTAGTCAAACAATATAAAGTTTACACACAAACATATAACTACAACATTATAGTTAAAATATTAAACTAGATCTATTACAATCATAAAAACTTCGGTTGTTGTTTTAAGGCTGTAATGTCGAGAAATCTAGGCATCTCACTCAATGGCGGAGATATGGATTCTGTACAGAAACCTGAAACAATACATTTAAACTATTACCCGAATGCCATTGGACCAAATTGACTATGTAACAAGGACTGCATTGATTTATTTTTTTCTGTCTATATATGTATAGACTTCAAAACATTTTCTGCAACAATTTAGTAGCAGAAGAGCTCCTTGTGAAAGAGTTCGTCCAGGGTAATACTGCCACCTTTTTCCACAGGTTTTGAAGGTGCTGGAGAAATTACAGGCACAAGGGATTTGTCAACTTACGTCTCAGGACGCTGTGACAGTGCCCCTAAGATCTTTGCGATTTAAAGCTCTTAGTGGCAATGCAAGTATTATGGATAAGCGTGTCGCTTACCACCAGAATCACGTTCGTTCCGTCACTAGGTATGAAAAAAGAAGTAGTGTTTTGAGCGCAAAACAAAGGCCAGCGCAAACAGGCAGACAGGAAGGCAGAGGACAGTAAATTAGCAATTATATTTTATGCTATTCCAATTAAAATAAGGTGTCAATTAAAATGGCAAAAGCTGCCTCTCATAGCATTGTTTATACTATTTCAATTGTAATACAACTGCCTTCGTGACCAAACGATTACCATGCTGGACTGCAACGCTGAGGTCCCAAGTTCCATTCCCGGGCCGGGAGAAATATTTGTATGGCCTACATTTATTTCTCTCATGAGTTTGGGTGTAATTTGTGGATGTCGCGGACATAGGGTTTCCCGAGTGCTATGTTGAGTCTGTGCGTGTGTGCGTGTGCGTTAATAGCATATAATATACATTGATAAATTTAATGTCATCTACCTTGCTGTTCGCCGATTTGCACTGGCCCTAATTGCGCTTGTCCCTTCCAGGCACTCAGAATCAACGGATATCCACTTGCTATAAAACACACAATAATTGAACGAACTAGTATTATGTTGAAATGTCAGAAAGTACGTATCCTCATTAGCTAAGATCCGGACAAACATCTAAAATCAATTTTATTTTGTATTCTCAAGAAGTAAACACTCTCGAATATTTTATCTTACCTTGCGTAATCTTGTGTCTCTCCATATAATTCCTGGTAGCGAAGGACATGTCAATAGGCATTGTAGAAGGTTTGATCATTCTTGGGGGCGCTGGAGCACACTTCAAATACTTCGCAGCCAGTTGGTTCATCTTGATACTTGTGTCGGTCGCAGACGAGTAAATGTGCGGTTGATGAATTCCCAAGGGATCATCGCCAAATTTTACTCTGTAAAATCATTGTTACCGCTTGTATACAAGCGCAAAGTTAACAAATACAAGCGCAAATGGACACTTCATAAGGAAAAGTAAGAGTTGCCAACTATAAAGCCCTAAGCGTGAAACATACAGAGAGCAGCCCCCGAAGCATGGCTATGCATGATAGTCGCGACGCGTGCGATAAAATTGAAATAAGTGCGTGTTATTGGCTATCTAAATTAGATCTGATTGAGACAGCCAATAGCGTGCGCTTATTTCAATTTTATCGCGCGCGTCGCGACTATCATGCGTAGCCATGCTACGGGGGCAGGTGCGGATCGGTCTGTGTTTCGTTCACCCTTTATTCTTATACAAGAACTCGGTTTTTAAAGCGTCTGCTACCTAAACCTACAACTGACTTCCTGTCCTTATACCACGCTAGGTGGGGTCGGCACAACATGTATTTTTCTTCTACTCTCTGCTATCAACCGTAATTTCCATACTCACACCTTTCTTATCCATGTCATCTTTCACCAAACTAGAACTGGTTGGTTATATTAATTACCAGGGCGCCCACTAGCTCAAGTTGACACCTGCGCCCATACAAGTCGCGACATTCAGTATACATTAAATAACAACCTGCACACACTAACGGTACCGCAGCGAAGCGTGCGAAAGTATAGCGGTACTTGTTATAATAGTGCGACGGTAGACGGTGGATGAAGCCTCCAGCACTGAATTAAGACGTAATGTCGGATCACCAATCAGCCCGTGACAACGATAATAATAATAATAACGCACATACTCAATATAGCCCCGCACTAGGGACACCCTGTGTCGCAGGTGCCATGGACACACACATAGACAACCACAAATTACACTCAAACTCACGAGAGAAATAAATGTAAGCCATACAAATATTTATCCCACCCCACAGAGACAGTTTAAATGAGTGCAACCTGGCTTAAATATCAGTGTAATACCTATTAAATATATTAAGTCATGTTTATCCTCATTTATATTGTTTAGCATAATAATGGGTCAATAATTCAAAAGGATTGCTAATCACAGATCGTAGCTCTGAAAAGGTCGAAATTCCGTCTTTAAATCTAAACGGCACTGGTCAATAGCCTGGAAGTAGTTTATATTATGAAAATGGCCATGGAAGAATAATACCCATTTAATATGAAATATGTATAAGGAGTCAGTTTTTCCTTGTAATATTATTGAAATAGTGATCATGAGCTAAAATTATTCTCTAAACTTTGACAAATATGCTCGTCAATAGTGGCATCGTGTGTTACAAACTAATTCACAAATTAACACTTCCTAATATGAGTAGATGGCGCTAATCCTAAACAAAATAAAAGAATAGGTGGCACTATCCACAAAAATCTATGAAATAAGTGCCATCTAGTTGATTTGTTTGTTATCAATAGACATTAGTGTAGCTTTGATAAATTGCAGCTTGTCAATGTAAAACAAATTAGTTACAAAATAGCTTTTTGGTCCGCGTCGCGACATCTCGTGTACCAATGGGTACAAATTACCCGACTATGATGTCTTGTATCGCGATTTGCAGCCCTCTAAAATTATTGGTCCTTAAATTTAAAATTTAAACATGTATTATACCTTTTAGTGACACTGACATTTGTCTTGTCAATCTGCATCTGCACACACTGTTGTCTGGTGTTTCTATACAACGCACTGGCGGATGAGGGCATGTCCGAGTCTTGTAGCAGTCCATTCACACGATTCTAATAAACAAAATTAAATGTTTTCCAAAATTGTACAGGTGTGCATGCTCAACCATCATCAACCTCATTGTCACTGCCCATCAGGCAAATGCACACTTATTTATACAATTACTATTTATAAAATTATCTATTGTAAATAGTGACACCAATTTTGGTTTCAAATGTATAACATTTATATTTTAATCTATAAATTTGTTGATTTCATATAAAGTATTTCAAAGTTAAAAAAAATATGTACAGGTATGTACAGAGTCCTTAACATCCTAAAAATCATGATGTCTGTATATATACCTGTATAATTCAAGTTTGAATTTCCTGTTATTTGAGTTAAACAATGTACTGTGTTGTTGTGAATAAATATTTTAACTTTGACTTTGAAAAATTCTTTATTAAATTTTGAATATTTCCCATTAAGAACAGTTGCAAGAGCTAAGATTAAAATTGCATGAAAAATAGCCTTACCATGACTTTATTATAATAAGTCCACCCAACATTGGATTGGGTATCACTACCTGAATCTGATCTGCAAAAAGACATACTTTTAAAAATTAAATGAATAATGAATTAATCAATATAATGCATTGACTTACAATTATATGGACGTCGGGTCCGCGCTAAAAAGTGTCCGCACTTGCAAGGCGCTAAAATCGTATACAGAGCGCTATCTCCGCTTTAGTCTTCATTTGTTCTACTGACAGCGCGATACTGCGATGACATTACAATTTAAATTTCGAATAGGTTGACTTGGGACATTTTTTTCGTGGTTTTTGTATTAGACCCGTCGTCCATTTATTTGTAAGTCAATGATATAATGTGGTAAATAATATTTAAATATAAATAATAAAAAAGATATATAAATAACCATATACTTACTCACTATAATCCCTTACATCCAAATAGAGACTTTGTTCAGGAGATATCAAAGGTGTCGTAGCATTGTCTACTTGGACATTATAAAGACTTAATTCATTTAATGTCTCCATTACATTTTCTCCTTGATGAGTATTTTTTATCGCCCCTTCATCAGTAGATTCCCTACCAGTGTCATCAGTCTCATTAGTTCTATTAACAGGCATTATACCATCTAAAAAGTTCATGCTGACAGGCTGTGATTTAGAAATAACTTCTTTTATACTAATCTGAGATCTATTACATTGTATTTGTGCATTTTCACAGCTCTGTTTCACTATTTCCTTATTGATAACTGTTGAAGTCCGCACCATTTCAAAACTAGTCATGACACCAATGGATATTTTATGTTCCGTGTCAATCGTCTGAAGTGCTACATGCTCTGCCATATAATTTTGTACAGGCTGTACATTTTGTGTCCTTTGGTTTGTAGTTGATATGAACTTATCAACTTTCTCTTGAAGTAATTGTAACTGCTCATTTTGTAGTTTTATTATTTTAAAAAGGTCAGCTACAGTTGGTTCTCTTTTTTCTTTGACCAAATTAGTCTGTTTTTCAAGTTCCTTACACTCTTTTTTGCTCTGTTCAAATTTCTCTATGGACCAGTTTTTCTTTTCTACAGCATTCTGTGGAACTGGCGGCGAATTTGACGGCACAGAACAACATTTATGAGACCTCTGCATATGATTATCACAGCCGAAGCAGGTAACCGGTACAGGCATACAAGAACATTGACGAACACCACACAGTGATTTTACATGGCCCATCACTTGACAATGGTTTTGTACGCTTTTTACAAGTGGAGATATTTGAGGAGTGTTAATTTGTATAGCTTTCAGGCAATGGTGGCATCTGCAATCACTTTCTTCTGTAGTATTTAAAGACTCTGGATATAAATACACATTTTCTTGGCAATTAGGTTTTTGAGTTTCAGGTATCACATTGTCAATTTTTCTACTAATAGATTCATTCTCTTTGCCTAAACCTAGTCTATTGAACTGTGATTGAAGTGGTTCTAAATCTACACAAAACTTATCTAAATTGTCTCTTTTTAGGAAGAAGCTGTTATCTTTCCTTAAAACATTTGATGGTGAATTCTCTATAGGTGACAGAATATTAGGGAGTTTAGTTGATTTATCATTTGTGATTACTTTATCTTCAAAACAAGGTCTGAGTCTAGGAGTAGGTACATAGGATTGCGTAGAGACATTATGTCTAGATGCGCTGTAGGTCTGTAATTCTGTAGGAGTTCTGTATAATTGCTGCCTTCTAGGTTCATGACAGTCCAACATGCTTAACTCTAAATCATTTGATGGCATGTATTTGGAACCCCGTTCTCCGATGTCAGGTAGATTTGTTTTAAGTACTGAAGGATACGGTGAGCTATCACAGCATTCGTATCTTTTTACGGGATCGTCAGAGTAAGACAATAATCTCTGATACTGAAATAGATCAGGTACTTGAGATACATAACTCGGTACTTGCTTGTCAATGAAAGGCCGTGGGGAATGACACTCTGAGTCGTCCATTCTAGGAAACAAATCTTTAATCGGCGTCTCAAAACGCACCTTCTTCATGAAGTTGCTTTAAATATTGGCCTATATGAACAACTTTCACTTTGCTGTAATGTTCTGTTGTCCTATCAAATTATTCTGTTATTAAATAAACTGGGCAAACACCATTTTTAACGATGAGCTATACAAAATTATGTTCAATCAAATAATATTATATTAAACAGTAAACACCTCCACCACAACTCACAAAGTTTAAAAAATTACAGTTACGAATTTTTTTTTTTATTAATAATTTTAGCTTGGATACAAGTCCTTTGAGGCATGTCTTCGTTTAATTATGTTTCTGTAAATATGGCCGCCACAAAGAGGATAGGCAATTTGAGGCGGCGTGCTTGGATTGACTCGGGATTCCTTACAACGGGCCGATACGGGTATTTTAGTTCGAGATTCGTTTAATTTCGCGTTTTAATCTTCGATTAAGGCACAATAGCACTAGGTATCCTATTCCACTTTAAACTAGATTTCACAAAATAATTGAAAGTCGAAATAAAAACGACACTTTTCCCTCCTAAAGGACCAAAGCGAATTCACAGTTAGGGTCGTATTCCAGAACATTGAGCATTGAGTAAAGTTCTGGTCAATGCTCAATGCTCAAGTCAGGACTTGAGTATGATTTAAAGCACTGAAAATCATACTCAAGTCCTTGCCATAGGGTCGTATTTCCAGTGCTTGAAATCATACTCAAGTCTGCTCAAATCCTGACTTGAGCATTGAGTACAGTTCTGGAATTCGACCCTGAAATTAGGAATAGGAATCGTTCAGAAATGTAGTGTACAACTGGCTTTTGGTACTAACTATAAGGTAATTTTTGGAAAAATTTCAAATAGTGCAAAATTTTCCGGAAAAATTTTCGAAAAATTGGAAAAATATAATTTGGAAGGCTCCTATTATATTTATTCTACGTTAGATAGAAATAGAAGTTTATTTAGAAGTCACCTAAACTTTCGAAAAAAATTTCGAAACCCTTTGCCCGTGTGCTCTTCATCTGTACAAAATTTTATTGAAAAATTAATGGACTGACTTTTTCTTTGTGGTTGATTTTGTATGAATATAATTTTATAAATAAAGAAGATAAAGTTTCTTCAATCTTCGTTAAAAACTCGACTTTTCAGAAAGTTCGTTTCTAAAAAATAATTAATTAAATAAAAAAATCAGTTTAATCATAATAATTGGCAACAATTTCCTCAAGTGTCATCATGAATTTGATTTGAGGTTATGTTGTGTATTTTCTAAATTAAATAATCTCATATTTTTCGTCTTGTTAATTACACAGTAAATACTAGCTTACGAAATGAACAGACATCTTCTAAAAGTTTTGACACCAATGACAATAATATCTCGGTCAAAAGGCTTTAAACATCCTGGAGGTGTTCGGTACCCTGGTGGAATTGTATTTTATCCTAGGTACAGAGAACGGAACTACATTTTTTTGTTTCTACAAGCTTTTTTATATTCTTTTTCTTACTCTTCTCTATATCTCAGGAATCCTGAAGAGCACAAGGACCCTGAAGACTATATTGCACCAAAGCTGTTCAGGGTGGAAAGAATCAAACCAGTCAAAAACAATCCTTGGTGGCTTAAGAGGATATTAGCAGAGTTCAGAATTGGAGAAGATAATGATGTATGTTTTAACCATTCTATTAAATCCTTTTAATATCATAGACATTTAGCATGCAGAACAAAATAGAAAGATAAAATAATTATTTTGTTCCTTCACCTCATATCTAGATAGACATTTTACATTGTCTTACAATAAGCTACTTTATGTTTTATGTATTAACCTGTTGTGTCTCCACATAGAATCACTAGAGACATGTGATTTCCCTTACAATTTTATACTGTAGTGTCACAAAGCCATATGTTGTACTTCTAATGAGCAGCTGTGTTTTCATCCACCATTTAAACAAAATTATAAAAAATGTATAAAAAAATTGTTAACAATGTTAGTTGGACGCATGACAGGTTAATAGTGATACATTTTTAAAAAATAGTAAATCTACATATATAATTGTACATTGACAGTTATGGTCAACTCTAATATTATATGTACTATTATTACATTATTTTCGTTCTGTATTAAAAGATTTTTATATATCAACAGCGTAATAGAGTTGCAATAGTAAAGAACATCCCAGAAATAAACTCCAAACTATGGAAGATCAAACATCTAGTGAAAATAACACCTATCACTTTCCCCTATGGTGAACCTACCAAAGAAGATGTCCAACATACTGTTCTTAAAGAAAACGGCCAATGCCTGGTTACAAAGACTTTAGCACCAGCTCCAGAACAAATTGCAGCTTTAGAACAATTTGATTCAGATGAAAAAAAGATGGATTCTACAACTATAAAGAGAGATACTAGACATAGATGGAACAATGCGTATACTGGTGGATTTTAATCAGCAATGTTGTTTTTGTACTTATTTTAAGTTTTAATAAAGTTAGCTAATACATACATCTATAGCTTATTACATTATAATTTGTTTTATTGTGTAAAATGATAATGAATTATTAAATTGATGATCAAAATATATATCTATATCTCCCACATAAGTTATTGTAAGCCTCAAAATAGCATCATTTTATAAGTTTAGTATTTTATATAAACAATAACAATTGTAATAATAATTGTAAACAATAATAATTGTTTATATATTGTTATATAAACAATTATTATTATTGTCTTCATTAAAAGTTCTTTACTTATAAAAAAGAACCTATAATAAATGCATACAAAAAAGGATAAACCTATAATATACATTAAATAGTAAAAAATGCTATTTTTGTGACTTACAACAATCATGAGAGGTATCGAAATATTGTTTTGTAATTTTGGTCTAGGTGGCATGAATGACTGATATTAAGGAATTCATGGTTTTTACCTTAGTGCATACCTATACCTCCCTTTCAACACTTAATGATCATTTTACTTGATGTTAATTATATTTGTGAAGTATAATAATCAACGATGGATTTAATAGAAAGTAAGAATAGAAATACATTTATTTGTTAACACAAAAGAAAAACAACGAAACGTAAAGTATAAATAGATAATTACAAAATAAAATCATGAACAAAAAAATATAATTAAAATTAAAACAACTTCACATAAACAAGGATGCTTAAGTATAATGATATTGTCAAATTTAGCGCTACCAAAACGCAGACGTGTCTATTCTCCACTAAACGGAGTCTCTTCCGACTTTTCGTGATAGATCCATACTGATAGCCTACCGTCTCCAGCTACTTGGAATGGACCTGTCGTCCAATTTGAACTTCGGCAGATACATTGAATCCATGGCCAAAAATGCAGCCAGGAAGCTTAGCATCCTTTCCAGGGTGAGGTGTTACTTCACACCGGGACAGTTACTTTAGCTATATCAAGCACAAGTCCGGTTGTGTATGGAGTACTGTTACCACCTTTGGGATGGCTCTGCTACATACCAACTGGCCACCTCGGATTCAATTGACAAGCGTACCAAGAGGCTTATAGGTGACTCGGAATTAATAGAGGCGAAGCTAGGTAAGAGAAGCTAAGGTGCAGGATATATCACAGAGAGTGTGCGATGGAATTACACGGTTTAGTTCCGCCGTCCCTTATCCATCATTGGGAGACTAGGCGTAGGCTTGGCTTCCACCCCTGTGTTGTGGATTTTCCAAAGATTCGCACGAAGCGTTACACTTCCGCATTTATGAGTCGAACGGCTATGGAGTGGAATTCCCTACCTGCAGACTTGTTCCATGAACATTATAACTTGGACTTTTTCAAGGCGAGAGTGAATAGGCATTATCTATCCATCAGGTGAGATGGAGGTCAAATGCACACTTACATTAGAATTAAAAAAAAAATTGTATGGTGCCAGCTCCGGTAATAAAAGGGTCACTAAATGAAACTAAACAAATAGCAATGAGATATTTATTAACAAAAACTAGCACTGGCCTAAACCAATAACACTAAACATCTACTGCACACCAGCATTGTCTTCAGGGCCACCATCTGTTTTCTTCTTATAAAGTAAGTAATTAAAATATTCAGGGGTTTTAAAGTAATTGTCCAACAGAATAGCATGCTTATTGCCCAGCCCAAATCTAGAATCACCCCATGTTACTACTAAAGTAGGATTGAGTTTCTTAAACTCGTTTAATTTAAATTCATGCTTATGAATAGAATTAAACATATGGCCTCTGAACACAGCAATATAGTTGTCTTCGTGCTGATACAGGCGAATAACATATTTGGATAGAAGAATCTTGATCATTACGTGAAAAGCAACAAATGCTCCAAGATATGACAGGCATTCAATTCCACTGTTCGCTATAACTACATTATCTCCTAACACTACAGGCGTGTCAACGTCTGCTATGTCGTATACAAATACAGCATAGTATAGTCCTGCAGCACCAACTGTGGTTGTTGAAAAAGTCAAGTATGCTGTGGCGTAGTTTAGTAACTTCTCCATAGGAGCTTTGTAAATTAATTCATAGTTTTTAGACACGTTATCCTTCTCTCGCCACCGATCCTGTATCTCTAAGAACTTTTGTGGGTGTTGTGATACATATCTGGCTGAGAATATTTTGAAAATCGAGTGTCTCTGTGTAGCGGTTAACAAGCGCATACAATTCATTTTGAATTCCACCAAATTGCTGTTCGCTCTTGAGTATTAACTAGAAATAAAAATCATAATTGAGAATAAATCGACCTAGCTTATGTTGTTTTACAAAAAAACTCTATTGGTATATAGTTTTTATAGGTTATGTTGAACAGTGAACAGCTGACTTTGACAGAAATATTTTTGAAAGTTTGATGGTTCAGCAATGGCTTAAATATATAGAGCCTCGTTCGTTATAGATGAAATGACAAGCTTTTTGCCTTTAGAAAAGAATAGAAATTTATTTTCTCCCAATAGCGCACAAACATTACAAACTAATTTGTATTAAGTTATTAATCATAATTATTGAAGTAGAACTCATTTCATTCATTAATATCATTCACGTCTCGAATATAAAAGAAAAATTGCGGATAGGTACAGACATATCGAGTAATATAATAATAGATGGGAAGTATCAAGCAAAATATAAGTAGATTCTAATCTTATAAAAAAAACAAGCAGTGCTTTCTCGATACTCTCTTCGTGTTTACCAGACCAATGTCAGGTCTAAGTTTAGTTCTGAGGTAAATATAAATTCTATTCAACAAGAAAATCACAAATTCGAATAATTCAATTTTATTGACTGACTGATATTATATCTATCACTTGAAGTATAAACGAATGAACTCGAAATTATAAAAGTGTAAATAAACAATGCTAAGACAAAAAGTAATCATTATGAACAATTAAAACTCAACGGTACAACAACAATATACAAGAAACATTTGAAGTGTTAACAAGAAATAACATTGTGATTATTCCGTAGATAATATTTAAATTAAACCTAGTGTAATACTTTATTTATTTTACTTTCAATGACAAACATACATATAGAAGAAAATGCATTTAAACAACAGTTTATAAAGTCATTTCAAATCCTATAAAAGTGCATGAAGTGGTAAAATTAAGTTACGTTACACATTTGCAATAGAACAGAAGTCCTTCAGCAGAATTTATTGAGATCTGTTACGTAACATTTTACGTAATTCACATACTATGTAAAATAATAATTCTGCATAACCAATTATTTAAATCAATCATAGCTTTCTAGCAATGTAAAAAACTTATGTTTTATATTGCTTTGGTATATCACTTACTATTATTATTTATTTTGTCATGTTGACTCCTTACTTCTATTCACTTTCTTTTTATTTCTCACATTATTGCTTTTATTTCCCACATTCATTGAAACATTGGAATCATTCTTTGATTCTTCATATTTACTTATTAAGTACTGAGCAAACGTATTTTCGTCCTTGCTTAATTCTACTTCATTTATACTTGCATCAGGTTCCTTAAACTTAACTGGGTAATTAGAAATGTCATTACTCGAATTATGAAGAATGCTTGATAGATTGTCCTCGTTAACTCTTGGCCTTCTTAAGTACGTATTTCTTTTATTTATTAAATTCTGACCCTGTTCATTGTTCTTCTTTTTTCGTAAACTCTCAGGTAATGCATCCGACTTTAGTTTGACTATAGTTGTGTTCACAACTGAACAGTCGATCTGCATTAGAGTGACGTGATCGCTTTTTACAGAATCTGTAAGAAAAGTGATGAATTAACATTATTGCTGACACAGCTCCGAAATAAATTTTATCTTTAGTTTGCGCCGTTTAACATGTCAATAGCGGCCATTGACCCGTCTGCTCCGGAGGCTCAAACCGAGTTTCGAATGTTTTCGTTTCGTTTTATTAATTTTGTTATTGATTTGTTTTATTAATTGCTCCGTTGTATTTTGCTACAAGTAATACCACCTATAGATTTGAGAAAATGCCGGTTCTACTTAGTTATATTGTTACGTCTTTTATAATAAATTCTTTGAACAAATAAAGGTGAATATAGATTTTAAGACTTTCGTGGTTATTCACTAAATGATTATCACTAGTATCAGGTTTCTTACCACGGTATGACTTCTTTTTATTTTCCCGATATTTCTTATCGATATTATTTAGTGGTAAGAAACCTGATACTAGTGATAATCATTAAATAAAGGTGAAATATGTAATTAATATGTTTCATTACTATTGTTGACTCCTAGCATGCGTATGTGTGTCGGCAACGCGTTAACGAGTCACACACGAACGAGTACGTCTATATGAGACCGCGGCGGCCGCAGCCGCAGCCGCTCTCACGACCTACTAAAGCCATTGAACACGTCTCATTGTACATTAATGACCAAGTCAAAGTCAAAGTCAAAGATTATTTATTCCATAGGTAAAATAAA